ATAGTCACGCAATACAGCACAACGTACCAAATTGTAACTAGTTAGATAGAACGGCCTTTGGCCAAAGTCCTACATAGCTAACGGCTGATACAGGACTATAATGGAATAATAATAAGCAGACCAATGGTGGGATTGCCGTCTTCACTAGCGGTGCAGTGCTGTCAGACGCACCTGGGTTCCATTGGCATCATGAATCACAAAATGTTTTCCTAGTCACCAAGGGTTTCATTAAGCTTTGAAATAGCGACAAATGCAGAATACTTGGCTCAGGCTGATTTGCTTACGTTCCGCCAGTACGTTTATTTGTTCATTCCACAAAGTAGGTGTACCGCTTACATTGTGCAGAAAGTAATACATAACCCTGAACTGCTTGGCCCTCATACAGAAACATTTGACCTTGCTGCTCCCGGGGATTGGGTAAACTTCTTCCTTTACGTTGGGGAGACGTACGGCGGCGTTATTGTACCTGATGATGACAATCGCAACCTCAAATCCACGCTGATCCCGAAACTCATGGCATTCAAGGATCGCTTCGATGTTCGTTTCAAGAGAGACTATCAGGCACCTGAATTAGGTTCATGGGCAGACTCTGAGAATCAGCTACCAACTCCTGAGCAAGCATATTTTCTGCAGGCAAACAAGAGCCCACGATGGATCTTGGGTGGTGTCCTCTCCAGGCCTTTCATTCATGCGGAACAAACTGGAGAAAAATTCGCTATTTTGAGCATAGAATCATCAAATTTTTGCGATGTATTGCAGCAAGCATTATCATGTTGGCTAACATTGAGTGGAGTTGACTACTGCTTTTGTGTTCAAGAGGGGCTGCTTCGGGTGCAATTGCAATCTAGTAATGGCTGGAATGAGGTGCGTGAAGGGCAGACCCCTTGTTTTGGCTGCCGGCGAAACCTTTTCACTGAATTTTGGTAGTCAATACGTTCGGGTGTGGTCGTTTACGAACGGACGTGGAATCGAGGAACTGATCAAGCAAGCTGGTGAAAGGTATGATGGTTTCGTCATACCAGACGTCCCTGTAACTGCTGGTGGTCATGCAATACTTACTGCTTATCAAAGCTGAAAATTAGCTCCGTTCTATAGGGGCTTCTTCTAAATACATCAGACTCATTTTTGTAACCTTTAGTATCAGAAATCTTTTTTTGGTCAGCTAAATTACAAGTATCTCAAAATTTACTCTAGTCGAACATAAAAGTGCTTTTCTTATCATTATAGGTGTAGTTCTTGTGTCTAGTCAGATATAAGATCACCATCTACTATGTTAGCATGACCTTCGTTCCTTTAGGTATTTGTAAATTCATAGAGATTAACTTTACTCGTAAACAGGCTTCTAGGCTCAAATTCTCATCCTATGTGCAAGTATATGCTTTAAGCTCAAAATTAGTCGGACCCCATCACAACTTTCATAACATTTTGCTTTGCAGTGCCACTCCAACACTATCCGGAGGCACACTGTGTGCCTATATAACATGGCGAAGCTACGGCTCCCCTACAGCAGGTTGCCATTGTACCACCTGGACATGTTCCTGATGATGGACGCTGGGTGCATCTCCCGCCAATCAGTTCACTGGAGTCTGATGGCGTATAGCCGCACACGCCACCCCACACTCCGGAATTCGATGACCATTTCGCAATGGTTTGGCAGCAGAAACGTAAGGGGCGGTCAGCACATTGAGATTGCTCAGTGACAGGGATCCGGGACGTCACAGTGGCCAACGTGGTAGAGGTCACGCTGATTGTGCGTATGAGTGGTGAGGTTGTGACCTCGGTAATCGTAGGCGTTGGTGCAATGATAGTTGTTGTTGTAGAACTTGTTTCTGTTGCTGTGTACTCAGTCTCAGTGACTGTAGTGAGAGTAGTAGTCGAAGTGAAGGTAGCAACCTTGCTGCACGCTGCAGAAATATCCTGAGATGACCAGCCCTGGAGGACTGACGGTGTTTCGAGTGCTGCTGCTGGCGTTTCTAACCTCTTCTTCAGATTGCCCTGTACCGTTGTGATTGTAAATGTAGTTTCTGTGCTTGCTACGATAGTAGTTTCTCCCGAAACAAATATAGTCTCAAATAACGTGACGGCAGGAGGTGTAGATGTGAGCAGGTTGGTAGTTGTAGTACCTGTGGCAGTCGAGATGGTAGCAGTGGTGCGCAATGTTTCCACTGGTGGATCATAACCAATATATGAGGCGCAGAATTGAACGCCATCAGGTGTATTGAGCGAGTTGGTGATTTCATCCGTACTAGAAGTAACCGGAGTAGGAGACGATGTTGCAGGTGCAGATGGCGAGTTGACCAAGAACCCTATATGTACATCAGCATTTCACTCTGTTGGATGAAACGTCTGCCGTAGATAATCCTCACCGTTTACACGAGAATCTATGACAGGTCCTAGGTTGCTACTCTTGAGATAACATGGCCCGCTGCTGCCACTGTTGCCGACGAATGATGCTGCAACACATTCGGGAGTAATGGCGCATGCGGCTGAGCAGGCTTCTAGTCCATCAGTCCACTCCATCTTGAAATCGCCACCATAGTAATCTACACCGCAACTCAGCGTCAAAGAGCGGCCATTGCTGCTGTCGGTAGTGAGACAGCCATTGTTGTCAGGGCAGTTAACGGAAGCCGGACAAGGCTGTTGCGGCCCCGCTGGTGAGCTTGAGGGAGGGTTTGGAGTAACGCGAGAGATTATACTCGCACCAGTCACTCCCATACTGTTGCTTAGGTCAGCATCAGAATTATGATGTCTTGCGAGATTACTTACTTGGCTGAGCCAGCGTTAAGAGTGTTTTTCAGGTAACAATCCGTGCCTGCATAACTCAAAGCAACACATCCATCTGTAGACGCACAGGTCTTCATGCAATCGATAACTGTTGCGGCCTATCAAAATCAGTGTCTTACTGCGACGGTCTATACGTTTGTTCCTTACGTAGACTCTTCCCATGTCGCCCCCATAGAAGTCAGTTGCACAACTGACTTTGAAGTCGGCTCCATTGGAACTGAATGTACATTGATTATCGTCTGGGCAGGTCGGTAACAATAGACAAATGAGTGACGATGCACGCAAAGCCAGTACCGAGGCTGAGAAAAAGGTAGAAGTCATGTCGCACGAGCTTATTCTAGTCAAATCCGAATGAGATCAGACACAACTAAGGCGTAAACAACTTGCACAAGTCGTGCCATGTTATATATTAGCAGCTATATCACTAGGCAACTCCAATTGTGTATCAGAGGCTGACTCTTTCAGTCCGCCATGGTGCATACTAAGAGGCTGTGGCTGAACTAAAATAATTTGAGTACCAGGGGGGCAGCAAAACGAGGACTAGCACCGCAAGAAGATGATAGGACACAGAACAACGGCGCTGCGATAACCGAGCCTACTGGGCGCCACCATGTACTCAACGGATTTCGGTTATATCGATAATTTGAGCATTGTGCAGATACGGACCCGAGTCCACGGCTCAAATCCTGAACTCCATGGTTCAGCTAGAATTGGGCGTCCAGCGCAGCCGAGTAAGAACCTACAAGCGTCTGAAAATCTTCTAGCGTGTCCCAAACAAGATGCTACGCTATTCACATATCGTTAAGGAAGCACAGTCAATTCCAGCCAATGGTTTTCGTGTCCGACACTGTCCTTCCCTAACCATTAATGACTACCTTTTGGGTCATTTGGCCCAAGGCAGCCCTCGTTGGTTAAATCTTACCCCCGCGAAGTGGATACAAGCCTTTCGAACCGCACCTCAGATTAGTAGTAGTTTGTATATTGCGAATACCAATTACTGAATTATCTTTGCTCTTGTAACCAACTATTTTTGTGTCTTACCCAATTATTGTGTAATAGGAATGGTCATCTTTTTCAAGGCATTTTCAATATTTCTGCGTCCCTTCGTATTCTCGTTTAGTTGCATACAGTTTTAAACATCTGCTACTAGTGTATTCAAACAATAGTCTACTGCCGATCATTATGCGAAATCGAAGAGATAGGGTCATATCTAAAGCCGTTTGATCTCAAAGCTCATTATTGCTACCACTCGAACCAAGTGTCCAACCGTTTTCTTTAGTCCCTTTACACTCTCTAGTTCGGACCTCCCTGCCCGAAGCACTTCATTACCCCATTCACGCTCGTAATAGTGCTACCAGCATCTACCAGACATTGTAAGTAGGTGCGTCTCGTTAGAAAAATAGTGAAGGCAAACGCTAAGGGGTGATGGTATTATTCACTTACTGATATCAAACGATCCACTCTGGATGTTTCCACTGTTGTCGTTGCACTTGACAGATAAGAACAACGAACGTTGCGATGAGGGGAAAAGACTCTCGACCGAGCAGCTCTTGACAAAGTTGCCGCTATAGGTTTTGTTAGGATTAGCAAATAACGAGCAAAAGGTAAAGGGAGCCGAGTCCAGAAACCTACTTCGCCTGCGGAATCAACTTCCCGTTCGAATTCGCAAAACACGTCGACAATCGAAGAGTCGAACCAACAAGTTGATTTGAATCATTGAAGCAATCGCATCCCATGACACCCGCTTCAGCCTTGTTAATGATGAGATGGCACGACTGGCACTTGTTGGTGAAGGAGGCCGATGCTGCTGCTGCGAGAGCCGCAAGAACGTATACAAAGCGCATTTCAATTGAGTGATTGAAACTGTGAGGACTTTGGTAGGAAGTATTGCTTGAAGAATGAGCTTTGGGGATGGTATGATGTGCAGTTGGGGATTACTCTTGTGTATTTATATTAGCTGGTTGGTGAGAGCGATTACCCGTTGAAGACTTCGTCGCTGTGGAAAATAGCATCCGATTCTTTGTCCTCACGATTTTTTTCAGTCTCCATCGTAACCTGCTCAAGCGGTTTGAGCTAAATTGGCAAATTGCTGGTGTTGTCTTGCTTATTCACAAGGTCTTGGCTGAACGTATCGGGTTATTGTTAGCCACTTTATCAACTATCCCTTACCAAGTAGGTCAAATCTCCTACGCACGGACATCAGGTTTTTTTCCCTTTCTCGAAACCTTCCTGTTCAGAACTTTCCCCTTTCCAAAACACATCTCTGACTGAAACATTTCTATTTCTATAACATCAAGTACCATGATTTGGTAAGTGATGCAGTTGTGGTACTCTAAATCTGGCTCTCCAGGATTAATATGCTGGATCTTGCTACACTCAATGCGGATGTAAGATTGACGCAGGTAAACCGCTCTACGACTACACACGTACGGATATATAAGTAGTGGTACTGCACGTCTTATTCTTATTTATACTATCCTCTTTGATATATACATACATCATACCTTCACACAACGTACTAATACAAGAAGAACCCTCTTTTACTATGTTGTTCCTTTTAGCAAACAGATAAAAGAAATTACCGTTCATACATAAATTATTTGAGGTTAATACTTCTTTTTGCGCTGCCTTACATGTGGATCCTGCCCTTTGCGGTTTCTCTTTTGCCGATCCGTTGGCGGCCGATACGGCTCTTTGCCAAACTCATCACGATACAAGCTCAGCATGTACTCGTCAACATGTCTCTTCAACTTCTCATTGCCATGGATATCCAGCTCTTCATCCTTGGAGGTAGAGGCAGCAGCAGCTTCTGAAGCAGCTCGTGTTGCATTGACGCTTTCGTTGAAGTCAACCTTGTCTTCTTGAATTTCGTCGACAATTTCCTTTTGCGCAATAGATGCCGCAGTACGATCTTCCGTGTCTTCGACATTGCCCATGACACGTGCGTCACCTAAGAGGCCAATCTTCTCGCCAAGTACACGTTCCATGGCTGCACCCGCTTCGTCAGTTGTATCGATACCCATGTCTTCGTCCAAAGCGTCTCGCCAGGTGACTTTGTTGAATGTGTCAGTGGTGAAGTCACCTTTTTGTATGATGACATCATCGAGGAGACGCTTTTGATTAGACTTGCGAAGTATGTTGGCTTCGATCGTGTACTCGCTCACAAACTTGTAAATATGAACATCGCGCGTTTGGCCAATTCGATGAGCGCGATCCTGGCATTGCTTGTCCATTGCTGGGTTCCAATCAAGGTCGTAGAAGATGACAGTGTCAGCACCCGTAAGATTAATACCGAGACCACCGGATCGCGAGGACAAGATAAAGCATAAGATGCGCGGGTCATTATTGAAGCGATCGGTAAGGATCTGGCGCTGTTCGATCTTTGTAGACCCGTCAAGACGCAAGTAGCGATGCCCGTGGATGTTGAGGAACTGTTCCAGGATATCGAGGACCTTTGTCATCTGAGTGAAGATGAGAGCACGGTGACCACCAGCTTGCAAGTCCCGAAGTAGCGTAGCAAGGCGTTGCAGCTTTCCGCAATCGTACTGAAGCAGGCGTTTATCAGGAAAGGCAATGGATTGGCGAATACGCGACGAGTGGAAGGGATCTGGTTGGTGAGCTGCATCTGAGGCCCGGATGAGGTCAACACCACGTTTGGATAGGGTTAGTGGGGCAAGCTCTTCGGCAGCAACAGCGGGCGTGACACATGTGAAGCGCGTGATTAGAGGCTCAAAGGCTTCAGCACGTTGCTCCAGTGTTGGAATCATGTCGAAGAAGTGTGTGATTTGTTGATCATGCCATTGTGATATGACTCTTTGAGAGCATGGTGACCTGAATCCGAGACGACCACGATGTCGCTGAACGATGTCGTACTGCATCGCATCCTCTGGCCTCGGCTGCAGATGCGCCTGGCCAAAGCCATGGTACATGGGAGGGGGAGCGTGATGTGGCCGGTAAAGTGGAGGTCTGGGTACCTTTTTGCCTTCGGTGATGGCACCAAAAGTATACTCGTGCCAGTCGACCGTCACTGCGTCGATAATGTCCTTTCCGTATATTGGCATGAACTGGGTGCGAGCGCGTGTAAGAGCTACACATGTCTGCAGATGGTCTCGGACAGCCACCTGCTCTCGTTTGGCCATTGCCGCCATTGCGGATTGCAGCGGAGACGTACCTGCCTCGACTGGTTTATTGATGCGTCGAGTTTGACGCTCAATCAGGTCTTCCAAAGGCCGTGTAGCACGGATCGGATAAGTACGTCGAGCATGCCCTAACTGTGTCTGCTCGCGTCGCGCGAAATTGAGATTCAGAGCATCCAAGCTTATTCTCTTGTCTTCCATGCCTTCTTGTAGACGCTTGCGGATAAGGAGGTCTTTGATCTCATACTGCGCGGCAACGGATTTTGGCATTGCCATGGATGTTACAATGGCTCGCGTTTCAAACAGATCAGGATGATTGCAGACTTTTCGCAGTGACATTAAGCAGTTGATAATGGACATGTAGTTGCCTGACGACAAGATCTCCTTTGTCGATGCGCGGCCCATGAACCCATCGTAGAGCTGACGTTGCCGTTTGGAGAGCTTGCAGTAGACTACATGCTCATATTTCCCAGGCATCTGCTTTTCGACTTCAGACTTTAGCCTTCGGAGCAGATACGGCCTGAGGACCTCGTGGAGTCGCTTGACAATCTTTTGTGCTTCTGCGTCAAGCTGTTGACGGCCCTGATCCAAGATTTGGGATGTAGGGTTCTTTAGGGCAAGTGTGAATTCCTCTAAGCCCGCAATGCGACCTTCTCCAGCAAAGCCAGCCGGCATGAGGAAGTACAGCAACGACCAAAGCTCATCGATGTTATTTTGGAGAGGCGTTCCAGTCAACAGCAGTCTTCGTTCAGTCCGAAGATTGAGCATAGTCTGCCAACGCTGGGACTTGAAGTTCTTGATATTATGGGCTTCATCAAGCACGAGGTAGCGCCAAGGACGCATCTTGAAGGCTGCTGCGTCTTGAAGTATGAGTTGGTACGAGGTGATGACAACGTTGTACATGTCCTTGCCCGTATTGCGCCATCCCAATCGCTTCCGTTTCCGTTCGTTAATATCGCCGTAGTAAGTGAGGATTTTGAAACCAGGCAAAAATTTTCGGAACTCCATTTCCCAGTTGAGCATGACACTCGTGGGTACCACAACCAAGTGCGGTCCCCAGATCTCGTGGCGGACAGCAAGATAGGCCAAAAGTGAGATGGTTTGTATAGTCTTACCAAGACCCATTTCATCTGCTAGGATACCATTGGTGTCGGACTCGTACAAATTCGCAAGCCAGTCCAATCCGTCGTGCTGGTATTCTCGGAGTGTGCCTCGAAGAAGGAACGGGACTTCGGTCCTCGGCGGTGATGATGCATGACGAGACCGAGAAACACTTTTAGACTGCACAACATCTTCCATTGGAGTAGCCTCGGTGGGTTCGACCGATGGTTGGGGCTCGGCGACCTCAATGGAAGGAGTAGGCTCTGATGGTGCCGCGTTCCCGTTCACACACGGTTCGTCATTTACGGCAACTGCACCATGCCCATTGATATGAGGTTTCCCCTCCTCGTCTTTCATGGACATAGCGGCATGGCCATTGACCTGCTCTGCTGTTTGTTTCTCGCTCTCCGGCTCATTCTTCTCGATTGCGGTTTTTGCAGCTTCTTTCAGCTTCTTCACGTCCTTGGGTGCCAAGAAACCCATCAAGCCAATGTCCTCTTCTCCACTTTCGTCATCGTCTTCTGCCTCCGAGTCGTCGGCGTCATCTCCTTCGTCGTCTTCTGTCCCAGAGCCTTCATTGCTTGACCAGGCTTCGCTACCGGATTCCGAGGTTTTATCGTCATTTTCTGAGTCCATGAGGGCGTCATCAACCTGATCGAGTTCTACAGTAGCTGGGTCAATGTAACCTGGCTTTTTCTCATCCTCATTGTCTTCATGGCCACGGAATCCGTTCGCGAGCGTTTCCGGGGGCTCTTCCAGATCTTCAGCTTCGATGTCTGGGTCAGGGGTCGGTTCAGGCGTGCCTTCCTCCTCTTCTTCATCTCCAGAATCATCTTCGTCCTCGGAACTAGTCACCGGTAAATCCGGAAGCTGACCATACTTCTCACGTAGCTGTTCGGCGGTAAGATTCGCATCATCGTCCTGCTCGTTTTCTGGTTCACTATCCGAACTCGAAGACATGACATCGTCATCGAGCTGTTGTTCAGATGCATTTGAGGCCGCGCTCTCGAAATCCTCCATATCGTCGAAATCTCGATCTTCGCTCATCAGCGAGGATGCACCATCACCAGCAGTACGGCCTCCAAGAATTTCCTGTGCCTGGTTGAACATGTCGTCCATGGCTTTGTGTCCAAGCTGTAGCTGTTCCTCCTCGTACTTGGCCACACGCTCCTTGTCAATTTCAACCTTGACCAGGCCCCACGCGTCTTTGACATCCTTGACCACCTGCTTATATCTAACCACCTGCCGGTCCGCCTCTTCTTGTTCGATTTCATCCTGACTCTTCCGCTTGAACTTATTTTTCCAAAATTCGTAGGCTTCTCTAGCCAGAATCTTTGCCGTCCGGCGATGAAACGCCTTCTCTTCTTTGAGCAGCTTGTTGAAGTGCAAAGCATGCGCAACCACATGGTCCCAATGGCCGTACTGAGCTGGCGGTTCTGGAGCAGCTTCAGGAGCGTAGACACTACATCGTTCTTGGCTCAGTACTCCGTGCTCCGCCGCTTCAACAATTCGCAACCGGCGCTGTGCCTCGTCTTGGGCCTTTTCCTGTGTTATGCGCAGCGACTCCTCGCCTTCCAACGGGTCGTCTTGTTGTAGCCATTCTTCAAGTGAAGCGAACTGCGACTTGGGCGGGGCGTGATGGGGATGACGGTTCGGGGGGTCGGGCTTTCGGAGCCGTAGTCGCAATCGCGGGGCCGGCATTGATGGATTGGAGCCATCGGGCGATGCGTATAGGCCGGCGTCGGGGTCGTGACCATTGGTGTCGGGCGTATCCATGAATTCATCACCTGGCGGGTCAGTCGGTATTTGCGTGCCCCTCCGCTGGCGAGTGCCCCGCTTGCGAACTCCGCCGCCAGGTGACCCGTTTTGTAATTGCGGCGTCGTGACTGGTGTCTGTTTGGCGAGAGCAGAAGTCTTTGTATTTCGCTCAGACTTGCGGGCAGGCGTAGTCAAAGACTGTGTAGACGCCTTTCTAGCAAGGGCAGATGCCGCCTTCCCTTTCGGGACCGATGTCGGCCCTGGGCCGTTGCGCGACTCGCGCCTGGCCGCACTCTTAGGGGTGCCGTTGGTCTGCGTTGCCTTGGTCGCCGGGCGAGAGATGGGCTTTGTGGGCTCGGGTGTGGGCGGCGCAGTGTCTCTGTTCACACGCGATGACTTCCTAACGCCATTTTCAAAGACGGTCGTAGGGCCATCTGCGACAAATGACTTCCACGGGGGCGAGGCAGCGCGTGATGTCGAGCGACGTGGCGTGGTGGTCGAGTCTTCTAATTTTCGCCGTTTTGCAGGCCGCCCAATGACGCCACCATCATGGCCATTTACAGAGGCAAGCTGCTCTCCGTCGTTGGCGGCCAGGGGCGCATTATCGTCGTCGTCGGTGCCGTGTCCATGGGGCGCGATGGCGGATGGGGAGGGTGCGTCGGTCGAGTCGCGCGGTGGGATGGAGTCGTAGTCGCGATCCGCGGCAGTAACTTCTTCCATTCAGGAAGGGCGATGGAGGCGGCCTGGGAAGCCTGTAGACCACCCGGCGCGCGGCCAAATCGACATATATCAGCTCAAAACAGATACTACAGAGCAGCTGGATGGGTTCTGAGAGCAGTGCCGGGTTCAGATTTCAGATTCAGCCTCGTGCTGGGATGATGCAATGTGATGTCGAAGTTGAGAGACGGTGAAAACAGAGCCCGGCGATAATGTTTGGCGGCAATCACGCTAGCGACCGGCACGGGCGCGCATGGCCAGGCCGGGGGCGCGCAGCCTGCAAGATCAGATGTGAGTGTGTACGGTGCATTGGGGAGGAGCTTGGCTGCAAGCTGCATAGAAAATACTTGGGGCTTTCTTTTCTTCCTTGTTGTTCCCTGCGCGACAGCGCTGCGGTGGGACATGGACAGAGAACATATGTGGTGCTGGTGGTGGGAGTTCTTGAGCCCAGTCTGAGCAGTAAAGGACCCACTCTTCTCCCGCCAAGCCCAGTTGCGGCCGCAACTGAGCTCATCGCGAACGACACACCAAGACAGCAACCTGACGAATCCGCCCCGTCCCCCGCATTCGCGCCTCCACGTACGCTCACAGCCCCGTCAATTCCCTCGAAAACACACTCACGCATTCCGCAGCATGTTCTCCAGGCGCATTGTTGCGGCCCGTCCGCTGGCCCGATCCATTGCTCCCATCGCAGCACGCCCACGCCCGCAATTCACCCAGATCCGCACTGCCCTGACCGACGCCGAGAAGGCCCATCTCGAGCTCGCCGACCCCAACCAAGTACGCCTTTCCTGCTCCAGGGCCCAACGAGAAGGGGGCAAGGGGTTTCCAGAGTGCTGATCTGATGTGTGACAGAATGGCGGCTACATCAACCCACCTGCCGAGAAGCGAGGAAACCGCGATCCCTACGGCGACTACTGGGACAAGCAGGAGCGCCGCAACTACGGCGAGCCCTGTCACGAGGACAATGATATCCTCGGTGTACTAGCTCTGCACGACTACAACCACTTCAGTCCCCAGTGGGGTTTCGTTCTCATGGGCACCTTCATCGCAACCGTCTTCGGCCTCTGCGCTGCTGTCAAGTCCGTCTACCCAGACAAGATCAGTGCGCCCAAGACATACCCAGATGGCCTGGAAGCCGAGCTTGGAGGCAAGGGTGCTTTACCAGTAAGTCTTTTCTTGCTCCGATTATTCCTGTCGAACAGATCAAAGTGGCTCACCTTGTTACCAGGCGAGGAAGCCCGGTCAGGGTTGGTAGGTTACGGGCATGCGAGAATAAATTCGTGTATAAAATACCACTCGCAATGGAATTCTCCTTGTCATTTTGATACCTCGGACGTAAACTACATACATGATCTTTGACTATTATACTTGATCCGTATCTTGCCGCATTACTACATTACGCACACATGACCTGAACCCCTGCAGACGCCCTCACACATTCGACATGATGCATATTCATCTATCTACCTACTTACTCACGTATCTAGCTACCATAACCCTACCCTAAGCGACTCCAAAGAAGAACGGAAAATTAAACATACCATCGTAATGTATCGCACTCGACCCCATGCCCTAAGCAGAGAAACGAAGGTGCAGCAAGAAAAAGAAAGTGAACGCCAGGCTAAATAACCCATCATCACCTTTACCGTCCCTGGAAGCTACCCCTTTTCGCCAGCCAAGAGCCCGAAAGCAATCATCGAATAAAAAATGGATAATGATGCAGAGAGGTATCAGAAGGAGGTGAAGAAGAAAGCAGCAAAAACGCCCACCTACTAAAGCACCTTACGCATGCGTGACGAAAGAAGAAAACCCTTGTCCATCCCCACTTTACCGACGCCCAGGGCCCATGCTGCCTGTCATCCTGCCACCACCTGCATTCAGGCTCTGTCGTACAATTGCCTCTGCCGCCTGGGCAGCTGCAAGCCGTTCCTATGCATGCCTGATTAGACAAGAATAACAATGATAAGCTTCATGCCAAGACGAGACATACCTTTTGTCTACTCCTGTCTTTCAAGTATCTCTCAGCCTCTGGTCTCATTCTCAGAATCCTCAAAATCATATCGTCGTTGGGCTCAGCTTGCGCTTCTTTTCTCTTTTCCTCCTTGGCCTTCTTCATCGTGCCCAAGTTACGCGATAGCATTATCGTCTTGTGTCGACGAGACGGCACGCCTGCGAATCCTGCAGCGCCGCCAAACTGGTGGCCCATGGATGCTGGAGCAGACATGCGGTTCATGCGCTGCGCTTGCTCTTGCTGTCTCTTTGCACTCGCTGCAGCCATGGATTCAGACGTGCGGATAAGATCCTCCGTCGCCTCAAAGTAGAAGAAGTTGAGGTTCTGCAGCTCATGGTACTTGGGCGACTTGAGCACATCCATCGGTACTCCCTCAACATTGCCATCCTCATCCACGGCATGGAAAAAGTCAAACAACATCTTGAGCCACTTGAACACAATGTCGAGCTCTTGTTGGGTCAGCGGTCGCTGTTGTGAGAGCTTGTCAGATAGTGGAGGCACTAGTAGCGACTCTATTGTTGCCAGCGTCTCTTTCCATAATCTTGTCATAACCATAATCATGGCTGCATCCGTCAACGTCTGCTTCATAATGGCAAAATTCTCATCGAAGTAGACAAAGAGAGGGCCAAGAGCCTGCGTAATATCCTGCTGTGTAGGTCCTTGGACAACTGACATGGGTCGCGCAGATCGGAAATTTCCTAGGTAATTTGTTACCTTGGAGGCCACGCCCTTGTTCAGAAGAGCATCAAGTGACCGGCGCGAAAGCTTATAGCCAATGAATGATGAGAGCTGCCGTTGTTAGTCTAGGTCAAAAAAAAACATGGTGCGCACCATCTTACCTTGTCTGTAATCTTTCGTGTCATGTCCCGCTCAGTCCTCTTAAGTGTTCTGAACGCCTTGCCAAAGTAGAATTGTATGTCGTCTCGCTCGCCCTCCATACTCACACGTAGCAGCAAGCGGCCTTGTGTGTCCAAATCAAGCCAGTATTCGCGGGGCATATAGTCTCGAAAGTGTGATGGATCGAGCTTGAGCGATGTTCTGCCAACGCAGTCGTGATCGCCCATGGCATCCCAATCCCATATTGTCGCAACGACGTTGAGGGGACCGTTGGTGGTGATGTCAATGGTCTCTTCCCAGCGAGGGTTCAGGTTGCGGTAGATAACTCGTGTCTTAGCTAGGCGCTTCTGGTACTCGTCCCCAAGCACTACATATGGGTCGCTGAGCCCATTGATGTCACATGCCTTCAGATCCTCAGCCTCGATGATTTTGATGGTGAAGACAAAATTATTGTTGCGAAGGCGTTGCGGCTGAGGTGGGGTATTCTTCTGGAGGACCTCAGCGCAGGCATCGACACCAATCTCGCGCTCGAGCTTATCTAACTGCTGCATTGCATACTCAATGTTGTTGAGTTTGACAAGAGACTAGTTCTGTCAGCGTGGTTCTACCTAACGATATTGGCTTCTTACCTCGGGGTAGAATTGGAAAGGCTCAATTTTCTCCTTTTGGCTGTAAAAGTCCTTGACGGTAGAAAGCCATTTCTCTTGTCTGGTCTGATTAGCAGCAGCTTCCTGCTCAGGTGTCAAACGGTCCATTTCCCGCGCAAACTTCTGCTCTACGAGCTCGCAGTACCTCGCAAGTGCAGCACCAATCGATTTGGAAAGAGCGGTCATGAACTTGGCATAATGTACGTCATTATCCCAATTCAGAGCTACAACTTGCTCAATGCTCTGATTGAAGGATCGAAAAACATCAACAACCGAAACGCTATGCCTCTCGTCGTCCATGGGTATAGGGTTCTGTGATTCAATCTGGAAAGAATCTGCCTTGAAGGCATTATCCACCCAGCCAGTCAGGTTCTCATCCGTCATCTGTATCCATCTCCATACAAAATCCTGTAGCTGGTCTTCGATACTGAAAGCAAAATTCTTGCCCGGTAATGCGTCGCTGTGAATGCGGCGAATCTCGACGAGTTCCTTGTACAAGTCAAACCCATCCTGTATCGGGACGTCTTCTCCTTTGCTATGAGCAACGTCCATGATCCGAGCAACCAGGTCTCGTGCATCAGCCGCATATGCAGGAAACATCTTCTCCACAAGGCACATCATTGGACTGGCACCCATGACTTCTGGATTCTTGCGGTAACGCTTCTGTATCCGTTCGCACAATTTGACAACGGCACGACCAAGCTCAATGACGTGATAGAATTCCCACTCCTCCTTTGTGTCCGGTATATGCTTGGCAAGAAGCTCGCGATACACATCACCAGCCTTTTCTCTCAGGCCTTGGCGTAACTGCTCAGTGAATTTGTCCATTTCTTCCTCTGTACCAGGAAAGGTGGGGTCGTCATAGATGTGATTTTCCAGGACATACATGACTGGGCCAAGTGGAGGTGGCTTGGACTCGTACACGTGCATCATAAGCTCATAAAGCTCACGCAATAGACAGTCATGCAATGCAGACAAGATCTGCTGGTTAAGTGCATAATCGTGAATTGTCCACTTAGTCCGGTCAAAGAGGGATGATTGGACTGGAATAAAGCTCATACGACTAGCCCTTTTGTCTACCGGCGGTGGCTCTTTGACGTAGTTGAAGGCTGCATCGAGGGTATCCAAGTCAACCTCTTGGTTGGTGTATCGTTCGCACACAACGTCCATGAACAAGACGAGCCGCGAGAACTGGGGTATTCTCCACCGAAGGGCTATTTCATTCAAGAGTTCGGCGGATTGTTTTGACAGCAGCTTCACGGATGGGCTGTCGGAAGTTGCTTCGGTTGGTTCAAGCTCGGAATCGGCCAGGTCATGTTTCAGTGCTTCGTTCAGTATCGCGCGGTAAGTAGCACGTGGGTCGGAAGGTATAAAAGTATACGAGTCCTGGTCAGAGTCGTCGTTGATGTGAAGCCCGCTCATGTCTACAGGCTGGTCAATTACATACGAAGAGCCACTTTCCGAAGACATGGACCCTTGTCTGGAAGCGTCTGCATAGCCTGCATCCATTGGTGCTCTTGGCTTGAATTGGGGAACAGCTCCGCCAGGGGAGCTCTTCGCTAGTTCGGGGTTGGACTGGATGATTGCCAATATCATCTGCGAAAGATCCGGCACTTCTTGGTTCTTCCATGCCTCGTATGCCTCTTCAGTGTCAAAGTCGTCGGCGTTGAGCGTCTTCTTTGTCATGAGGCTGAGATGGGCCTGGTACGTCTTTAGATCCTGTAGTGCAGCTTTCTCAGTCCACACAGACTTGTGTCTGTTGATGTCATTCTGCACATCAGAGTAGCTGACGGAGAAGATACGCGAGACGACCAGGACAAGCGGCATGTCCTTGACCTCGTAGCTCCGGGGAATCTCTACTTCAATGGTTGTGCCTCCTTGGCCGCCGTTGCGCTGGTTCTCGGCGGCGAGATCCTGGTCGTGCACCAGCAGCTTCTTCTCCATGGTCATGAGTCTCTGGGCAAGCTCAGGGCGGTCCCTTTGCCAGTCGTGGTCCCTAAGGATGGAGCTGACGAGGCGAAGGAAGAGGGCGACATGGCGGTCGACCATGAGCTTCCAGCTGTCGTCGGTCGGTGCCTTTCCCTTCTGCAGCTCCTTTGTGGCATTCGAGTAGAAGATGAGGAGCAAGTCCTCGACTCGCCTGTCCTTGTCCATGTTCTTTCGAAACGAGGGGTCCTTGAAGGCATTGAGGAAGACGGCAAAGGTGCGCTTGACGGTGGCATCCTGGAACTCGGGCATGCGCTCCTGGCCCATGAGCACCTTTGTGATGCGCTTGTCGAGGGCAGCCATGAAGTCGCGGGGGAAGCGAGTGCTCTTGGAGTCCCTGATGAGGGAGAAGTCCTTCATCAGGTCGTTGATGGACGTCGACGAGCGCTGGACCTGCTTGGGGGCCGAGGGGACATGCTGCACTCGCTTCTGACGGGGCTGCAGCAGGTAGGCGAGGAATGCGACGCGCAGGGCATAGAGATAGGCATCCTGGGCGGTGACGGGGCGCTTCCCACGCAGCGTGGCCGAGCTGTTGCTGCGCAGGCGTTCGCGGGTCTGCAGGCTGTTTATGCGACGGTTGCTCCCGCGGACGCTGTCCATGGTGGTGCGAGGGTGCGAGGGATCAATGGGGAGGGCAAGGGCGTGTGGCCACGGTCGGGCGCATGTCAGGGCCGCAGTCGGGGCGGTGGTGGTGGTGATGGTGTTGTACGTATGTATGCGTGTTACGGGGCGGCCGCTGCTGCCCAGTGGATCGAGACACCTTCTCCAGCAGTAGTGGGGGGCAGAGCGACCCAACCCGACCCTTCTCTTGTGCTATCGCCGCCTGCAAGCACACTGTGGTGTATTCGTGCGCCCGGCCTAGTGTGCCTCTGTTTTTTTCTTTTGTGCGAATTTCTGGTCGCTCTTGACACAGGTGTGAGACGATCGACGGTGTGTCTCTGGGCGTCGCGTCGTGGGCGATGGGGTCGCTGCTGGTGGCGCGGCGGCAGCTCCACCACAGTGCGTCACACGCTGCTCGGTGGGCAGGGGGGGCTTCGAGCCTCACAGTCGCCGTTGGACGCTCAAGTCAGCCGTGAAACAGAGCGCAAATTAGCCGCGAGTGTATCGTGGTCTGGGTGACATGCTGGCCAGAGATGAGATGAGAGCGTGTTGCCAGGACCAATGCCGTTTGCTGTGCTGCAATCGCGCCAGCCTTCACCGCCGTCTTCTCAGGGCACATGCACCTCCTTCACCACGCCGACATGCGTGGATAGCCAATCTGCCCGGACAGGCTCGCGGCAGAGTCCAGACATCTGCCGCCTCGATGCCACCAAGACGCCATCTCCATCCCGCTCGCTTTCCGCCGACGTAGCACCACGAGGAAATTCGCTTTATTTCGCCGGCTCCCGCTGCCGGTCGTCGTCCTTGGTGGAGCCGAGATGGCTGGAAGCTCGGGCGCGCTGGCGTCTTCACATGAATGTCACCCGTCGCGCTTCGTGCCTCTCGCAACATCACCAACGGTCGCGAGGCTCATAGTATAGCCTCGCGCGGACCCTTGTGCATCTTGTCCATCCCCTCTTGCTCTCTTGCCTTTGCAATCCCAAAGGAGCATGTCACTCACGCCTCCCGCTTACTTCCCTCCCTAGCTCACGCAGTCATTGCGCTCAACGCTTCGACATCCAACAAACAATAGCACCTCGTATTCACGCATTGCACGCGCCACGAAAACAGCACAGCTCCTCCAACTGGCCCGGATAGTCTCGCCTGTCCGGGAACGTTGTCCGTACCAGCAAGCTCTTTTGCCCATCACACGATATAAGCCCACGTGTCGCCATGCCAGCATCTCAAAGTCCAACCAATGCCGCTGACCGGCCGCGCCTGACAGAAGCCCAAAAGAAGGAGAACCACATCCGTTCCGAGCAGAAGCGACGTGAGGCAATCAGAGAAGGCTTCGACCGACTTGCCTCCATCGTACCAGGCCTGGAGGGACAGGGACGAAGCGAGGCTGTTGTACTGGGCGGCGCAATCAAGCTCATGCGCGAGAAGATTATGGAGCGCCAGCAAATCATAAACGACGCAAAAGCAAAGGGAATCGACACGACGGGTTGGGAGCTAGACAAGGACACCATGGAAGCGTGTGCAAGACAATTTGAGAGGACCATGGCCGAGGATCGCCAGGCAGGGAATGGGGTCGAGAATGGTGTAGACGTAAAAAAGGAGTAGGCCTTTACAATTTTGCGCCAGGCCAAAACACAAGAGTGTTGATTGCTGCAGCAAAGTGGTGGGCAAAAAAAAAACCCCCTCCGTCACCAGCGCGTCGCACACATGTACGAAGTCATGAGACAATGATCTCTTTTTGTGGGCACAGGAGCGTTTAATATGAAGAAAACAAAACACTTGCGCACTCAAACCTCTGCCGGCTCCCTCCATACACATGTGTGTTCCACCGCACCTGAAATAACCAAAGTTACCATTGGGTGAAAATATTGGTATACATCTGATTTCACATTCACTCGTGCACGAACCATTGTCTTATCGATAAGCCCAAAATTGTCTTTCACATGCTTTCTGCACCCCGCCAACCCACTTGCTGGGTCCAACGCATCTGGCACTTTCCGAACACTAAGCTCAATTCGACTATCCAAAGTATCAGTGTACCCATCAGCAATGGCGTTTAGTTTTGGCTTTTCAGGCGACGACATTGAAGAGGATCCGAATGATGTGCAGGAGCAGAGTGGGCAGCCAACAGGTGCTGTGGAGAGTCATGTGCCACCGCCCATAGCCGCTCAAACTCTTGACTTGGATGAAATGGTAGGTTAACTACACTTTTATTTCTTTGTTCAATGTATGAATGAACAACCAGCAAACTGTGCTCCTCTTCGACATCTCTTCTTTCATCACTTATTTCTCAATCGTACAAAATAATTCAACCTACTAAAAACAAACCGCCTTTCCCAGCTCTCCACCCTCCCCGACAAAATCTCCTTTTCAACAGTCTCCCTCACCTCTCCCAAAGGCAACATCGCACACCTCCCCCGCCGCGAGCTCTTTGACGTACGTCTGCAACTCATGGCCGAAGACGACGGCACAACCGCGTCGCCCCTCTCTGGCCTCGAATCCAGCGACCTGCAGCAAAATGTCTACGAAGGCGGCTACAAGACGTGGGAATGCAGTCTGGACCTCGTACGCTTCCTGCTGGACCGGGACCCACGCAAAGATCTCGACGACCTGGTGCGTGTGGGCCACGTGATTGAAATGGGATGTGGGAGTGCACTTCCCTCGCTGCTGCTGTTCCAGTACGCGATAAGAGAGGGGCTGGGCATGTATTTTACCCTGACAGATTACAATGCCGACGTGCTGCGCTGCGTTACGCTGCCGAATCTCGTCTTGGCATGGGTAGCCACGTTGAGTCGAGAAGAGAGTGCGCAGTTATTTGCGGAAGATGCGCCGAACCCGCTGCTACGCCATGAATCGTCGGCTGAGGGTCAGCCTGCTGGTGGTGAAGAGGAATACGCTGATTTATACATTACCCCTGCACTGCTCCAGGCGTTCAAAGCTTGCCTACAAAACATCGGTATTACACTGACGTTTCTTTCGGGATCGTGGGCTCCCGCTTCTGCTTTACTGCCGCTTATTCCTTCGTCGCCTGATCTCAATACTTTTATCCTTGGCTCAGAGACTATCTACAGCCCTGCGTCGCTGACGGCGTTTGCCGATGCTATTGTGGCGCTCATGGGCCGCGTCAAGATGGGCAAGACGCTCGTGGCGGCCAAGCGAGTGTATTTTGGTGTTGGGGGTAGTGTTGACGACTTCAGGGAGGAGTGTAGTCGGCGAGGCTGTGTGGCAAGTGAACTCGAGTTTGAGGGATTGGGAGAGGGCGGAGTGAGGAGATGTTTGGTTGAGGTTCAGATGTATTAGAGTGCGACACGTTTTTTGTAGCCGAACGTATGGGTGGGGGCAAAAGTAAAGGGTATCTAGGAATTGCTGCCGTGTGGGAAAAAGTCTAGTAGGGTAATGAATGGGAAGCCCGTCAACGCTTGCAACATAGAGTAAGTAGCCAGGCAGCAACACACTTCTAACCAAAAAGAAGAAGATTGCCATAAGGCACATTCCTACTACCTCGCCCTCACCACGACAGTCGGCCCAGGCAACTCCCTCCTCCCATCCCCATCCTCACCGCCCCGTATAAGTCTCCTATACGTATCCCCCTCAGCTCTCAACTGCTCTCCTCGACTAACCTGCAGTCTCTCGACCCCCTTACCAATGGTATCAATATGAACCTGCACAGGTACTCCGCTCTTGTAACCCAGCATCTCAGGCGCCGCGACGCCCTCACGCAAATTCTCCAGGCCAGCTTGAATTTCCTGGAGCTTGAGCAGCGTTTCAGAAACGTGCACGACAGCCTTTTGGCGGTAAGCACTGATGTTCGAGAGCAGTGTGAGTGATCGCTTGTTTGCTTTGACGTTGCCACGGTTGCCACCGAGTTTTGTCCAGAGCGAGGACAGGAGTTCTTCCTGGGAGCGGGTAATGGACTGATCGTCGGTGGTGGCAATGTCGAAAATGGTAGTCAGGCGCTCTTCGAGATTGTTGAGGACAAGGAGAAGCGCTTGGGCGGTTTCAATCAGCCGAGTGATCTCGTCCTTGTTCTTGCTCACGTGCAGCACGTATTGGTCGAAGATGCGTTCTTGGAGCGAAGGCGGCGGCGCGACAAATGCGCCCGTCATTTGGCGGATTATCTTTCCGACAGCTCCGACAGAGGTGTCTTGCTCTGAGATGCCCGAGAGCACGTTCATGGTCCAGGTGTTGGTTGCGATGACGCGGTCCATCGCAGCACCTATCCGGCTGTTGTAGCGTGATAAGTCGACGGATGCCTCATTTGCCGTTTGGATAAAGTATTCGAATTCGTTTTCTAGCGCTTTTCGACTAGGCAGACGCGAATGTTTGACTAGGATGCGCAGATCGCGGATGGCGAGCTCAGAGTTCTTGATTGTTGCAGGCAGCGCCGACGTGTCTTTTGATGCATCAAGAATATCTTCAAACTTGCCTTGGACATTGATAAGCTCTTCGAAGTCGGCTTGATTTCCAACAAATGAATCGGCGGTAGCGCAGGCAGAGATGAGGTATGAGGAGCCTGGCAAGGCGCACACAGGACCCATAACGGCGTTTGAGATGGTAGAGCGAAGCATACCGGATGCCAGCTGAATCCCAAATACCAAGATAGCAACGCCCAAAACAACACCCAGAAAAGGCTTGATGAAGTGTTTGACAGCATAGGAGAAGATGTCCAAGAAATGAGTGAAGATGGGAGCACCCACATTCTCCCAAAAGAGATTGACATAGTGCCATGGGCTCACTTCTTCCTGTTTCTGCCTTGGTGGCCGACGATGGGAATCAGCTGACCCCTGTGTGGAGGACCTGCGAGGCGTACGGCGTGAATTTGATGAAGTGCTTTGTTGCGTATTTCTGGTTCGATTTCGCGGTTGCGATTTCTGGACAGGCGACCCATCATAACCTGAGCTTTCCATGGAGGGCATGATAAGGCTGGGTCCAGAAGAGTCCCGTGTATGCGATCTTTGATCTCTCTGCAAGAGTCTAGGGGTAGCTGTATCAGGCCCTATCCTCTGGGACTGGCTAGCTTTTGTACGGCTTGCTTGCTTCCTGTCTGGGGTATCCTGTGACTGGGGCGTGGGCGTCGAGTGACTGAGATGATGGCGCTTGGGCCTGGGGGTAACAATGGAGTCTGAGACAGGCTCTTGAACGACCTCTTTGTCTGAAGCTTCCAGTTCCTCGTCACTAGCAGCGTCGCTGGCTGAAGGGGTGGAGCCGCCTTCGTCAGATGTATAGTCAGCGTTGCCCCAACTACTTCCCAGACTGCGATCTAGGCGCCTGGTGCGCGCGCTCATGGTATGTGATGGAGAAGTCGACGTCAAGCGGATACAGAGCTATGGCTAGGACAAGAAGGCAGCGCAGGACGAAATATGACAACTAGGCAAGCAATGTCACAGTGAGGACTCAACTTCCACTGGATGTGAATGTACTTTGGTTGCAGGGGGGCTTGGGTAGAACAGGTCGCCACTGCTAGAGGCGTGACGTGGTGCGGGGCCAATCAGGTGTCGGGCGCAAGTTGCATGCCTTTGTGTGTCGCGGAAATGTCCAGACTCTTTCACTATCAGTACATGGCTAAGACAAGAATCATGGCGCATTACCTGCTTTGTTATTGCTAGAGTACTCAGTCTATGTATGCATGTGTGTTTGTATGTATGTATGTATGCACTGTGTATGTATACGGGTGGGGGATGGTGTTGTCTATCCCTCTAACGCGTCCACGTCATTGTGCTATGTTTTGTTTGGGCTAGTCTGTGCCAAGACCCGCTAGCCTAGAAAGTGCGTCTTGACCTTCACGTCAATGCACTCGACGGCTCAAGACTTTGCAATGCCGCCATTGCGCCAGCTTCCATTCGCGCTGCAGGCTCTAAGGCGGGCGAAAATAAACACCCAGATATGGAGCCAACACGGGCATCTCGTTGCAAGGAGCTGCTCGTGCTCTGCGCCGCAGCAATTGCAGCACACGGTAACAGTTTCATCTGAAGACCCCGCCAGTGCGCGACTCAACGCAACAACCACTGCCCCTCCAACCCCTCCTACAGACCACCGGACGCTCGCACAAACGCATAACCTCTTCATAACATCGCCCTATAGTCCTGGCTCGCCGCTCATTCTTCCCAATGGCGCCTATGTCTTTCAGAAGCTGCAGTCATTCTTACGCGCGCAATACCCCCAGTTTGGCTTCCAAGAGGTCATTACGCCCATAATTTACAAGAAGTCGCTTTGGGAAAAGTCTGGACATTGGGAAAACTATGCCGAAGACATGTTCAGCGTCCAAGGGAGGGGAACAACTGCGCAAATACCTGAAGCTGATGGTGGAGAGGATGGCGAGTTTGGGCTGAAGCCAATGAACTGCCCAGGCCATTGCTTGTTGTTCAGGGACGAGATCAAGAGTTACCGCGATCTGCCAGTCCGACTTGCTGATTTCAGTGCATTGCATCGAAACGAAATCTCAGGCGCATTGACGGGCTTGACGAGGGTCCGGCGGTTTCATCAGGATGACGCGCACATCTTCTGTCGTCCGGATCAGATCTTGGCAGAAATCGAGCAAACGCTCAAGTTTGTAGGCATGGTATACAACACGTTTGGACTAGGACCATACAAGTTGCTTCTATCCACTAGACCAAAGGATAGCTTCATTGGCACTATTGAAGAATGGGATCGCGCAGAGGAGCAATTGACAACTGCGCTAAACAACATGGGGAGTGAATGGGCCATCAATGAAGGAGATGGAGCGTTCTACGGCCCCAAGATTGATATCGTCCTGAAGGATTCAAACGGCAAAGAGCATCAAACGGCTACCATTCAGCTTGACTTTCAACTACCACAACGCTTTGATCTACAATATCAAGCATCTCCAGAAGAGCTGGAGGCACGCTCACAGAGTTCTATGGATAAGGGCCTTGACACGGCATTTCGCCGTCCTGTAATCATCCACCGTGCTATTTACGGATCAATTGAGCGCTTCATGGCCCTGCTCATTGAGCACTATGCAGGAAAATATCCCTTTTGGCTTTCTCCTCGGCCAGCTATAGTACTGTCATTGAACTCTAATCCCGAGGTTCTCAAACATGTCTCGCGCATCCAATCAGTGTTGTCGGGCTTGAAGTCACAAGACGCATCCGAAGCGTTACCATCATCACCAAAGCCTCTACCTCTTTCAATCATTCACCTTCCTGTTGACATCGACACAAGTGATCGTCCCCTTGGTAAGAAAATTGCAGAAGCAAGAGGAAAAAAATACAACCACATCATCGTCGTTGGTGGCCGCGAAGCGGTTAATGACAGCATGAATCTGCAGATCGTAAACCAGCCTCACGAGGACACTACAATCGAAGTTTTGGAAAAGCATCTTGAGAGACAGCTCACCGACAAGGAACGTTCCAAGGGCGTAAATGTTCCCTTAAGTGCTGCTAGAAAATACTTTGAGCAACTCGCCAACTCTTTTCTGTAGTTCAATTTCTTCCAATCATAGCTTTCACCATAACCATGCAGGCGCGTTTCATGTGTCATGCAGGATTTTAGGATACCTTTTAGAGGGAAAACGATTTTATTGTACTTGAAGCCCTAGCTCCAGGGGCGCACTGAGGCTACGAGACAAACCTTTTTGGAACTTCGCCTCTGCATACTGTGTTTATCTCCACTCAACAATTCTACCCTAATACACCAATCTCAACTCGATAGAAGTCCTGATCATCAAACCCGAATCCAGGATCAAGATTCCCGCTGTGTGATGCAACCAGATGCTCTGTTATAAGGTACACTGACTTCCTGGAGTTTCTGTGTTGTGGGTTGCGGTACCCCCTTCTCTGAATGTACTCAACACATTCCATGGGCAAATTCTCGCCATTTTATATCCAACTTCTTACCATGGTATGCATCTCGCAACTACGGAATGTGATTGACGAGAAAAGGTCACAGGTTAACACTCCACAGCCGGCGACAAGCCACGAAACGTTCAATGTCTGACAGCCACTTCATTTTGTGCGCTTATGCCTTGCAGTGCCCTATCAAACGAGTTATGGTAAGATGTGGACCGGCTTGTATGATAGTATCCAAGGAGCATTGGGGTGTGCGCTTTTGGCCATCGCAGAGACAAGAGATGATAGCTACCCAGTTGTAAACACATGGCCTTTGATGTGCTTGTTGTTAGGGTCTAGATAAGGGACACTGGAGATTGCACTGTTCGAGGAAGACTCCGGGCTACTCCATACATCCAGTGTAGGGCGAGGAGGTGTATGCGATGCGGGCTCCTGTTCGACCGAGCGCGTCGTCAAATACTGCGTCACGAGCATACAGACGGTCACTAGGACAACATTTAGTATAGAAAGAAGAATTAGGGGCAAGTACTAACCATCAGTCAAACACAACAACATGCAAACATGACCCCGTCTTGCAAAATCTTGGCTGGCGATGAGGATGTTGAAGGTAATGGAGCTAATGAGCATAATCAACGCGCCGACGACGTTCCGTACCAACATGACTTGCAATTTGCTCGAATGGGATCCCCACACGGTCTTATGTACGCTTCTGATCCATAGCCTGATTCCTTCGGCGTTGGAATCGTTTGTCCCTCCAGCGTTATTGGCCGTGCTTGGCATTCGGGGTATTTGCAAAGCCACAGCTGGGCGAAGTTGCCATATAAAGATCCCCGTCAGAGCGAGGTTAGCAGTGACATCAACTGCCACGATGAGATAGGAAGTCGGTGGACGAAATCCGATGCTACATTCACCATTGCCACCTGGGAATACAACTATTCGGGTGGCAAATTGTGCACCCGTTATTGCAATAAAACCGCTCACGAACGAAATCCCTCCTCCAACGTATAGTGGATCACGCCAACGGTTGATGAATGGAGCCCGAACGATGCGAATACGCTCGAGTAGAAAAAGATACCTAAAAACATAAGCACGGTGTCACCTGAGCAGGGTTATGGGAGACGAACAGAGCAACCTTCGTCCCTCCAAACCCAACGACGCAGGTTATAAGAGCAGTTTGGCATTCAGTTTGCCCGTGCAAGCCGGATCCTGTGACCACTAGCAAAGCAGTAGCAACTATGAGGACTGAGCAAAAGAAACCTTGCAGGAATACTAGAACGTCTGATACTCTGGTTTTGGACCTTTGACCAGCCATGCGGCCTGCTCGATAACCTGCGCATAATGAGCCAGAATCAAAACTAGCGGCGATCACAGCGGTTCACGACTCGGCATGAGCTGTACTTACCTTGGACGAATGCGAGCAGAAAAGCATACAAGATACATGTTACCACTACAGAAGCACGCACGAGTGACTTCTCATTGCTCTCAGATGTGGTCTTGGCTGTATTACGAATGGTGAATGGCAATGCAACTGCCGGTTGCGTTGACACTATGAGGGCCAGAAATGGCAAGAGTCGCATGTCTGCTGTTGGTACGACTCGGCTGTGTTTGTTGGAGAACGATTAGTAGGCCATTTTTGTTTGCATGAATCGCATACGTATAAGTAAGTTGTATTTGCCCCTTGGTTGGAAAGCATTGATCCGTGCTAATGTATGTGCTCAGATACAGTTGATGGAATCCTGGTACGTGACAAGCCCTATCCTGGCTGCAACTTTGTCTGTTCGGTGAATATTGTAATTCCGAATACTACGGAAAGTTTGGATCGACACGTATATAGCCATTGCTAGTACTCAAAAGGGCCAGAACCCACCAGGGTATTTTGTCGGAGGGAAAGTCAGACTGGGGTTTCCCACGTTTCTGAGGTTGTCTAAGGAAACTTTAGCGACACTTTCATCACCCTTGAGAATGTGATTGGGTAGAAGCCGTCACCTGCACGCCAAAAGGCTTGAATACCATCACCCCGCCAAAATTTCCCCTGAACTCTGTTTCCAGTAAGAATTCCCTGAGAGTGACCCTTTTGGGGATTTACACACATTGTTCGCCACAATCAAACCGTATATTCTGATCTAGTCGTCGCTGGGCATCTACCTATCTTGATGCACCTCATTGGGCTGATATGGCACTTCAAGACTTTGGTTTCGTCCCCTATACTACATGCGCCATGAAGTGAGGCTGTTGATAGCTTGCAAGCACCCGGCATGCATGTCGCCTTTTCTCCACTAATACGTTTCGATACTGCATGCTGGCTATACTTTTGTTTTTGATTCGCTACTTCCACAGCCGTCCATAGCGGTGTGATGCTGACTTTGACGACGAAAGAAGGGTTCAAGATTACCACTTCTCCTACCTGAATCGCCGATTTCTTCTCTATGAAGCACCGTTTCTGCCACTCATCTTCAACAATCAGGATAGCACAAAAAAGGGCATGAAGAGGACGCAGCTACTTGTGTCTTTACTCCAACACTCCAACACTCCCCATATCAGAAAGTCATGATATCGGGAAGGATCGGCCAACTGTGTTATAGAACTTGTCTACATGTTACATAGCAAACCAGGCACATACACCAACTTCATTTTTACGTACATACCAATATATCTTAACACACGGGCAGGAAATATCGGTATTGGGCACAAAAAGACGACTCTCGGAATGATCCGAACATAAGTAGCGCAAGAAACCACGCCCTCTCGCATACTCTTGCAATCAAAGATTCTCCCTCCCACGTCCTCTCGGCTAAAAAAAGACAAACATACGCTCAAGCCCACCGCCATTCGATCTTCCATCCGCTCCACCCGCCTAGAAGAGATGGCAGTAGCTTCCATCAGACCAGCTTAGTATCCCCAATTCGTCCGAGAGGATCCCATCCCCTAGCCTCCACAAACTCTATCTCGTCCCTCAGCAATCAGATTGGTTCGCATACATGTTTCCCTTGCTTTCCTGAACTCGGTGCGGTGCCGCATACAAACTGTCCAAGCTTCATCCCTTCATGGGCCGAGACCTTATCCAATTTGTTCCTGCCAAGGGATAAACCCCTCCCTTGTCCCCAGATATCTTTTCTAGCAGCTTTCTGGGGTTGTAGTACTATACCGTACCAGATTTCTGGCGTGTCTGCATGCCACTAACAAGCGCTTACTACGCACCGGCCCGGTCAGCAAGGTTGAGGGGCTGTGAGGGGGAGGGTTCGTTGGGGAAGTGGGGCCATGCGACAAAACTCGAATCTGGTATGCGTGTACACTATAACGACGCGTATTTTCGTTGGATGCTGATAGATAGAGATGGGTGGTTCGGAGTTTGGGCAGCTATGGTGCTTGCTGTACATGCAGGCTCCGCCATGCTGTCATCTTGAGAGATACATGGGGTTCATCTTTTTTTTTTGCTCTGCTAGAAAGTGCTAAGATGCATATATTGAAGCAGAAAGAGAGTGGATATGTCCACGCTGAAAGTAGTTAGATAGCAGCTCTATTGCAACTATCTGACGTTCAAACCTTAGCAGTTGATGGTGTTGTTGGGCGCGCTGCACTTTGCCTATTCGCTCTGTACCCGAGTTAAGGCGGGCCGATGTACACCTTTCTTCACCTCACCTTGTAAGCGGAACCACGGGAGCTGACCCATGCAGTTAATGTTCTCTTATCCAACCTACAGCGTGGTCATCTGAGCTGCGGGATTTCCGGCAGTTGTTGATGTCGCTCGATTTTTCGGATAGTTTTCCACCAATGCTAGAATAGGATACGACAGTTTACGTGGCAGTGTCAACAGAGCAATGCCGCGTATGCATCAAGATGTGTTGCAAAAGGGTCTAATATACTGCTACTATACAGACACGTAGTCAATCAGTTAACATGCAATCTGAACGCGCGGGAGGTTTGGTGGCGTTTATCAGCATGGATGTGGGGGAAAGCAAGATATGGTCACTACTTCTATAGCCAGGCACGAAATCAGTCACTACATCTGAACTTTGTGGGGTGAGAAAAACAAAAGTGGATACTATGCTGTGCATGAGTGCTGATGGACCTATTCTTCGGGTTCCCGGCTCTCGGTCGATCGATGAGACCGGAAAACCCAGGCCAAGCGGGCTAATCTACTAAAACGAGCCATCTTTTCTACTACATAGTAAATATCAGCACTACGGTAATCTGGTTTCGATGCCCATGTAAATTACAAGTACAATAATACTGGTGACATTCGGCCATCTTACCTCCTACTCCATCGGTCGACCGAGAGCCCCGATCTGTGGTTCAGGTGCAAAGATGGAGACTAGATTGCTAGTTACACAGATTTTGGAAACAATGGCGACGAACTAGGCAATTTTTCGCTCGTATATGAAATCATCTCCTATGTTAGAATTGTTATGCTAGACTTCCTCAATACCTGTTGTACTTACTTTACGTGCTGTTGGATGCAATCAGGCGAATGCATGTTATTCCGTGTACCCTCCACGACTGATTTCCCTTTCGTTCAGGCTTAAATAGTCAATCTTCAATCTGTTGTTCATCCAACGGCTAGTATCTCCACTTTATTGCCGCACTACTACTAATTTTATGCTCGCCTGTCCAAACGTTTGGTACTGCGACCCACATTCCACAATTACAGCAGCCCGGGTTACGAGTGCTTGGCCGTGTGGATAGGGTGCGAGTCATGCTTCCCGTCACTCGAACCCACTTAATGTGACTTGTAGGCTTGTTGAGTGACGTAGAAGAAGTAAGGTAAGCCTTCAGACTGCATGTACGAACATGGCTATGCCATCGCGCAACTCAGATGTCTCGTTTTGAGATATGACGAAGAAGAAGCATGAAATAGTGAGAAATGAGTTTTCAACCAATTTAAGGCTCTCAAGGGAGAAATTTCTGTGGAAAGTGCTAATGAATGCATTCGCATATCCTCAATCTGCTTATTGCACTCTATACTACACCAGATCTGTCAAGGCCCAAGAATTCCGTCCAAGACACCCCATTCAATTTTACGATCCAACCTCAATTTCTCAACCCTTGTTATGTCTTACACACCGATTGCTTCTAGTTTCCTTGTTCTTAACCTCAGTGCAAAAGGAAACTCGACACGACCCTTTTTTAACAAATCAGCACCGCTTCATCCAGAGTCGCCACACAATAAAAGTGGATATTGCCAAGTCATTTTAAGGTTAATACCGCAGCGGGCGCTTGCACAGAATGACATTGATGCAAAGACCGCGTATCCTTGTTGGAGGCCTTAGACCACTGCTGTCTGGATGATCCAACCTTCCATCTTGGCGGATGTAAGATGCGGGAGCTAAATTTGTCAAATACGTGGCGCATAAAAAATACGGGGCGTTGAGTTTGCGACTTAAGGAAGGTGATGTATACTGCAGAGGACCCATATGTAGGAACGATACAACTGGAGTGCGCCAACAATACATGTGAGCGATGGTGAGAATTTTCTCCTGATGTAGCACAAGTATGTTTGTACTAGACGGCAGTATTGGGAATGATATTGCACACTATGAAATGTGCTGGCTGGATTTACTATTTGGTAATTTCAGCTATATTTGTGTACTACAATTACTTCCAGTGGTTTGTCCTAGAAGAAGAAAATTGATCTAATTAGGTCTGAGAACCTCCGCTCTCATCAACTACAAACTAAGCTAGGATGCTGAGAATCTTCATAGTCAAATCGCGCCTAGTTATGTGACGAACAACAATATCTCGAGCAGCTAGATAGCACTGCCACCAGAGTGGCTAGAGCAGTGCGCAAACAGTAGTCCTGGCATCGTGTAATTAGAGTAGCCAAACTGCGGCAACAGACAAAAAGAGAGAGATAGAGTAATTTGTAAATAAATCTACTCCCTTTTCAATGCCGTTTATGGGCCATACTTTTGTTATTTGGGCACTGCTAACTGAGGTCAAAATAAATGGAAAGAAGAAATGAAACGACACGACTAGATTGATGCAAGGGTACTGATGGCAAAGTACAGACAATAGCTGTATTGGTACTATATCCAAAACTTCAAATTCACGAATCAACGAGGACTGTGACGAAAATGTAATGTTCCACCAACATATTGCGGCATAATATCACGTGATCAGGTCGCAAAAATGTTTGGCGGCTTCTTCTCAGAGCAGACGAACAAACTTTTTCACTTTGTGCGAGTCAGCGATTGGATTTCAAATTTATTCTTTCAGCCCAACCTCTTATCACGCTACAATTCACATGATAACACTATCAACCACGTAACATTTGACAGGAGCAAGATATGCTACCAAAATCGAACTGTACACACAACAATTCAACAGACATGATGAAAAAGATACAGAATACCCCAAACGGATTTGATTTCACAAGAACATTGAAAAAAAAGACACAAATGCAAATATCTTAATTCATTTGTCCTTTCGTTCATTTCTAGCAAACCAAGAACCAGACCAAAGAAAAAAGCCGCAGGAAATGCCCATTGCGGGAAACCCCATTGCCATACAAAATGATATCAACTAAACACGCCAGTCCACCCACGCTCATCCATCCATACATTCACACACACACACCTAATCCAAGCTCTGAATTTGCACCTTGATGCACCCGGTCTTGGGATCCGCCGCGGTCTTAAACGCCTCGACGGCATCCTCGAGCTTAAACCGATGGGTAACGAGCTTCTTGAGATCAATGACACCGCTCTTGTACAACCGGATAGCCTTGGGCCAAGTATTGCAGTAGCGGTACTGGAACTGGAGATCGACCTCGCGGGTGCTGAGGCGCATAAACGGGATTTTGATTTCGTTTTTGCCGACGCCAATGACGAAGACTTTGCCGCCAAACTTGACGGTTTGGATGGCGCTGTTGATGGAGCTTTCGACGCCGGTGCATTCCATGGCGTGCGAGGGCTCGACACCGTCGGTGAGCTTGAGGATGGCGGCTTGGAAGTCTTCGGGAGTGTGGCTGAATTCGACCTTGTGGGTGAGGACGTTGGGGACGAGCTCTTTGGCGAAGTTGAGGCGCCCTTGGTCAATGTCTGTGATGACGAGGGGAGTGGCGCCTGCGGCTTGACAGCAGAGGAGGGTGACGAGGCCGATGGGGCCAGCGCCGCATACGATGACGGGGTCGCCGAGACGGACGTTGGCGCGGTCCATGCCTGCAAGGGCGACGCTGAGGGGCTCGAGCATGGCGCCGTCTTCGAAGCTCATGCTGTCCGGAAGCTTGTGGCACCACATGGCTGGGTGCTTGAGGTAGCGGCGCAGCAGGCCGGTGACGGGCGGGGTGGACAGGAAGAGCACACGCTCGCAGCCGTTGTAGCGGCCTGTAAGACAGGGCTCACATTCGCCGCAGATGATGTTGGGTTCGATGGCTACGCGGTCGCCGGGCTTGAGGTGTGTCACTGAGGGGTGGCAGGCCATGACTGTGCCTGCAGATTCGTGGCCCAAGACATGTGTATCTTCGACAATCATGGGACCAATGCAACCCTGTATACGAAATTAGTAACATGTTTCGTGGAAACGAAATTATATTTCTATTTTTTGACGACAAGTCCTGAGCAGCAGCAGTGTCGATCGGGGGGACTGGGAAAGAAAAAAGACGTACAGCATGCCAGAAATGAATGTCACTACCGCAGATACCGGTGCTCTTGACGTTCAGCAGAACCTCTCCAGGCTTCAAATCTCCGCCTCTTTGCACCTCCTCCAGACTTGGTTCTGCCTCTGCAACCCATAGATCGTGGGCGGGGTTGGTGTAAACACCAATGTTTGCCTTTGAGGCCTTGATCTCGGTTGCACTCATCTTATGAATTTCGCCGTTTAGAATACGAAAAGGAGGAGGAAGAAGAAGAAACGGAAAAGCCTGGGTATATGGTGAAGTGAAGAGGGGAGAAGGAAAGAAAGAGAGGAGGAGAGCAGAAGAGATGGAGGGAGGGACAACAAGTACACCGCGAAGCAGATCAGCTGGGCCCGGCGGTCTAGGTCCCCAATTCTTTTTGCCCGTCTCGCCCTGCCATGGTCTTTAACCTGTGGTTGTCCCGCCTGGCCATCATTGGTGCGGGGCAGGCAGCACGCGTCGTTGTGATAATCTCTCCCAAACAGTTGCTGCCACGACCCCACTGACAACAGGACCGCGGTTGAACGGATTACTTCCACGAATGGGAACCCGACAAAGTCCGCAATTGGCCGTTTGGAGCCAGCCGAGTCATGGGGTGGGGGGGTTGGGGCTAGTACCGCTTCTGGTAACGTATCCTGCAGCCCGCCAGCGACAAAGACAGATTTCACGATACTTCAGCCGTGGTGTTGAGCAGGCGGCTGGTCGGGACATACGTAGCCTCGGCCTTGAGCCGAGTGTGCGTCGTCGGCCGGTGACCGAGTCGAATGAAGATCTGGACGCGTGACTTGAAATAGTAGTACTTAGTAAGAACAACAAGTCCCTGGATGACACATGGACTGCGTTGGTTGCTGCGCCGCATACATACCAAGTACGTACTACGGAGAATCTTACCTGCGTATATGTGACCTGCGACTACAACATCTCTTCGACCTACTCATGGCCAGAGGCACAATCAGCCCATACGGCCCTCTGCGCCGTATGCGCATCTCGACGCAGAGCCATCCTGTGTTCCACCACGCCACGACGCGTACGTAGGTACAGCGTCGTCACATATACCTCCACAGTACCTCTCCGCAACCCCGGTTCCCAGTACCACACACATGTAATAGCATCCTACCATACTCCACCAAGATCCCCCTCTCATCTTATGCCGCTCGTCTGTCCGGGATACCAAGCCTTCCCATGGCCTGACAAGCCAGGCCAAGCACAGCTGCTGTTCCTCAGCCACACCATCGTCAATGCGCAAACTTTCGGAAACCAGATGTGCCGAACGAGCGCCGAGAGGCCCGGAGTCTGTCTCCCTGCGCACTCGACGTGATTGACATGACTGACAGCTTGAAATGTCATTCGAGAATGGTTCGATGGGAGATAGGATGACTCGCGCACATGTGACAAAAAATGTTGATCGATGCTGCATCAGTTTTTCCCATCTAGAGCTTCAGAGTTAGGCAAACATATGCATGTGTGAAAAGCAGTGAAGTAAAATAGGTCTTCTAGATTTGCATTTGTAGACAGTAGATTGGATATGGAGTAAATCGACAGAAAAAGAAAAAAGGAGAAAAAAATAAAACCAGGTGCACCCGTGGGTTGCTACCTCTTCCAACGGCGGGGCTATGATCATAACATGGGCAAGAACAATAGTCAAATACACGCCTTGAACCAAGATGGTTTTAGTATCGCGAAAAAAGAATCCCACTTTCTCAAGCACCCCAAACTAGATTTTTTTTCAAACACGTCTAGAAATGCTCCTTCCAGAACTTGAAGTCGACTTCCTGGCAAGTCGCTTGCTTACACGCCTTCTTGATGTCCCGAGCTGCAACATTAGGTCCACAGAAGTAGACTCCTACCTCGGTACGCAGCGTGCTCTCGAGACCGTTCATGTAAGTGCGGTCAAGAATACCATCGCGCATACCGCAGAGCAAGCGCTGGAAGTCAGGGCGACCAAAGTTGGTACGAGACTTGAGTTCGGTAAGAGGGTCCTTGTCTGTGCCCACAGAGTTGAGGACGATGTTCTGCGCCGTGTTGACATCCATCTTCTGGGTGAGGTAAGTGTGGATGCGCAGGAACTGGTCACCATCTGCGCCACCAAGAGATTGTGCCTCGAGAGAAGAAAGTAGCGTTTGGAACCATTCGAAGGAAGAAGTATCTTTGCAGACCCAGATGAATTCGACACGGCGGAGACGCTTGGGTGGGTTGGGGCTCAGGCGGAGGTGGTAGATAGACTTGAGAATAGAGGCCCAAGGTGTGACACCAATACCAGTACCAATGAGGACAGCAACTTCGTTCTCAAAGACGTCTTCAGCAGGAGCTCCATAGGGTCCGTCGATACGGAGGGCAGGCATCTTTTGGCCGTGCTGCAGAGCAATCTCGTACATGCCCATGGGGTCCAGCTCGTCGTATAGTTTGGATTGCGACTGACCGGCACCAAGCGCATCGGCGAGCGCACGAGTAAAGTCACCAACCTGGCGGACGTGGACCGAGATATAAGGGTCATTGGGGCAAGAAGTAATGGTAAATGGATGCCACTGGTAGTAGCTGACTTCCGGGCAGTTCAGGAACAGCCACTGTCCGGGCTTGTACTTCATGCTGGGCTTGGTGAACTGGATCTCAACAGCGTCGTACGGGTGGCGGACGACCTTGACAATCTTGGTCTCGCGCCTGCAGCGGATCTCACGGTAGAGACGGTCAAAGAGGTACAAGCCGCCGCCAACGAGCTCCCATCGCCAACCCTCATAACCGATGCAATGAGTCCAGAAGTTGTCATGATCAAACGGAGAAAATGGGTTGGCAGTGTCACGAACGAAGCAGTTGGTCGCGTGTGTGTACATGCCGAGCAAGAACGGGATAAACAGGTGGTGGGTGTACCAGAAGGTCTCGAATGATTGCTGGCGGATCCTGTGGTGGGCCGTGGTGTACATCAGCAGCATGCAAAGAAGCATAATGTGTCCCGTGATACCACCAGCCTCTGTGTAGTGGATCTGAAGAGCAATCTGGGGTCGCACTTGCACACGCTCGACGTTGAAGAAACTACTCTTGTCAGCTTGGATGCATGGATTACTGCCTGATACCACTTACTTGACATAATGCGCCGCCACGTGGAGGATTGTGAAGAACAGCATAGCATAGGCGACTTGTCGGTGGAACCACATGGATTCATCAAGAGGCATAAAGCGCACCTTGGGTCGTAGCCATCGGAGGATGTTTCGGCACATGGGCATAACGATAACCATGGTGTCGACTGAGAGAACTAGACCTGCACCTCGGGATATCCAGACGGAAAACTTAAGAGCGTTAAGCGGTGCTAGACGTGCATCGCCAGCTTGTTTCCACCTGTGATTGTGTTAGACATGTACAACTAGAGTTGATGGGATTGTGCGTACCATCCTATGCCGAAGATGGCAAAATGAAAGCCCCAGAAGAAGAAATGAAAGGCGAGTTTTGACGGCGTAAAGAGCCGCGACCACGAGACTCCTCCTCCAGACATGGTGGCGGTTGCTGCAAGGCTGTGGTGGTGATGGGGGTTGCGACGGTCCGTTCAACGGTGATTATGAAAGATTAAAGAGTGTACGCGTAGTAAAAAGCGAACCTCAACCAGAAAAGCAATACGATCCAGTCGAAGTTCGACCCGGCCAGCCAGATACGAAATAAAGAAAAGAATGTCGGTGTCCCGGGACGGGCGGAGTGGTGTGCGAGGAAGAGGGGTGGAGGTGGAGGACGACCCCAAGACTGGCTGGGAACCAAGGGTATTAGAATGTCAAGCCCAGGAACAAGCCGAGCTCACCGACGCAGATCAGTGTGCGAGTCGTGAGGAGCCGCGCAGGCGTGGGTAGAGCGGCACGCTGTGCTGAAACTGACAGGGCCTGGTTCGGTACGGATGTGGCTCAGGCCGATGTCCTGGTAGGCCTCTGGTATAACCAGCTGGGCTAAGCTCGATAACTGTCCGAATGGCCAGGAAGGGAAGCGATGCAAGGCAGTTGCGGAGGCGCCAATGCCCACTAAGCCTAAGGCGTAGATTTGAGGAGTTGAGAGTAGTGGAGGGGTTCGCAGCTATGCGCGAGCGCCTAGTGTGTGAAGAGCGTCTCAGACCTGAAGCGCCAGGCACAAAACCATTTTTTCCTTGGTCTTTAGGGGATAAATTCGGGGCCTAACAACGGCTGGCCGTCTCGGGGGTAATGCACGACACCGTGTATGTATGATGGCTAGCGGTATGCAGCGATGCGAGCAATGTTTCGCTTAGGCCTTTGTTTGAGGGGTTCAGGTTTTGGTGAGGATAACGGAGAGAAAGAGGCAGCCACAGTGTTGCAACTGAAAGCGCGAGAGTCGCAAAGGTCCCACACGTCAATCTCGGCGTCAATCTGGCAGGCGCACTCGTTGTGTCGCGTTGTTTGGGGGGATTTTTTGTCCGGCGTAGGCGGATTTACGAGTGCGCTGGGGGGAAAACACTATCTGACGGATCGGGTACTTTGATACGCGAGGCCGTGGTGAAACGGTAGACGTTGGAAGGCGTGTCGTGAGTAAAATGGAGAAAACAGGCTATGAATCGGCCAACACTGTCGTTTTGCTATGTTAAAGACGGTAGATGCAAATGGCTAGGATGCAATCTCATGGGCGTTGGCAATGAGCAGACGGTGAGGGACAAGTGTTTGAGATGGGGACTTGTTCTCAGGTGGCGGCTCTACTCCTAAACTAGGGTGGCCCTCCCTCCCCACTAAGACACACAATGGATACGGCGGAACAGAACAAGAGCATGGTGTGAGCCCGTCGTGGCTGTCCTGGCGTGTGAGGCGCCGAGTTGTACTCAGAGCCACTTCTCGGTCGTGGTTGGTAGCACTGAATATCGGTCGAGAGGCTCGGCGTGAAGCAGGCGGCCAATGGCGGGCTGTCTGCAAGCGCTCAGGTACCCCCCACAGAGTTTACGCCCGCTAGCGCATAGTGTCTAGCTGCACGAGTACAAGATGTCGTCGCTATTTTGGTCTGTGGCCGTTGCCTCCGGCTGGATGGACGGAGAGGTGCCAATTGCCGGCCTTATCCACAGTGGGCCTTTGAGCGAGTGAACATCGTCGGCACCCTCTAGTCTTGCCTTGGTTTGTGTGACGACGGGAGCGGTGTGCAGATGCAAAAGAGGGCCAAGAAAGACGTCGGGTGCTCTGGGCGATTGAGCTGAGAAATCGATAGCTCGGGTGACACAAAATCAGGGCTGGAGAGGGAGAGGGAGATGGGTTGAGTGCTGGCTCATTCGCAGAGTTGCCGCTGTGGCTTGACCGTTGGGTGCGAATTGCGGCTGTGGCTGGTGCTGTGGCGGTGTGCATCTCTAGTAATTGGTTCTAGCTGCTAAGAGGCATTTGTATACATAATCAACTTTACTATACACAGTACTATGCACTACAAACGCAAATCCAACGGCGACAGCACCCACTGCTCTTTGCATGATCCTACCACGCCCCTCAAAAACAAAGTCAGGCCATTGTTCTACCCCAAGATCTCGTTCGGCTCGTTGAGCCCCAATCGATCAGCACTTTGACGCTGGCTTGTGGCTACGCAATCCTCCGACAACCAGGTTGGAGAAAAGCTTGCCTGCTCCTGCGAACTGATACAGAACGAGTATCGAACCACTTTGTTTTGTCTCGACGGCATTACAGGATGAACAGGCCTGTGAAGTAAACGTTGTCGTATGATGTTGTTTGATGAGCGTGCCTGAGGACCCAGGAGCAGCCTTCGATGTTGTTTTCCATGCAGTAAGGCCGTGGATCGTCATGCGCCCCGCCGAGCACTATCCTGAGGCACTGAGGAGAAACCGGGACTCAGGCATCCGCTGGCTAGGCGCAAGCCATGGCCGTGCCGCATCTGGGTGGATGACGGAGAATTACCAAGCCGCACATGGATGGCCATGGGCCAGAGATAGCTAGAGAGTGAGCGAGAGAACAATCCGGTGGCGTGGAGACTATCGGCAGCACGGAGACTAGTAGAGTAGGCGAAAGCATGTGGAGGCGTGATGCGGTTAGTAGAGATAGGCGACAAGCACTGGGATGCGTATATCGAGCTCTGATTTGCATTGGCGGCTGGTGGCATGGTGCTGTCGCCATCAATCACAGGCCACGTGAGCGTGAAGAGGTAACTACGTAAGTCCTCTTGTTCGTCGTTTTCGCCTTTTCCCCCGTCTAGCGCAGGGCGAGGGTTTGGCAGCAAAAGCCAAGCGGCTGAAGCTGGGATGTGATAGGACAGACAAGCATCCGGCGCACGGCCGCTGTGGCTGCAGCGGGGCCAAGCACGCTCGTCCATCTCGTGCAGACAGCCAATGGCCTTCACCACAACCACCCTCCATGGCAGCCGTGCGGGTCAAGCGGCTACACAACTGACCTGCACCATTTCACCCCACCCCAGTCACTGCCCAGCCAAAAACAACCAGGATCCGAATGGCGCATAATTGCCTTTACAATTGGGGTCGACTCCCGCTGTCGCTCCCGGTATACTGATACACCTCACGTCGCGAAGCTCAACGGCAACACCACGCTGCCTGAACACCTAACACGCCTGAGACTCGCCTACGCCTCAGCCCTCTATAGCACCTGCGCAATATCTATCCACTCTGCTCATCGGTGCCTGTCCCCAACCGCGCCTTACCGCTTTGAGCCTCCACTGAACCGCCGTTGCACCCGACGCATTGCCTATAACAAACTCCGCCCTGCCCCTCTGTCCCACGTCCGCTGCTCATCTGTCAACGAGGCTACTGGTAGTCGAAGGGACATTTCTGCTTACCTTCTTTCTTTGTTTCTCTCCGCCTTCTTTTCGCTTCTTACCATTTAACTTTCTTTCTCAAACGACCGCGGGCTCGGTTTACTGCTCGTATCCCTTCTTTATAATTTCTGCACAATGGGCAAGTTAATCAAGAACCACTGGGCGCGTCTCGTCATCCTCACTGCTGCTGCCTGTAAGTTACATTTTCCCATTACGACCTCCACGCTGCTGTCATTGTTACTAACTTTACCATCATAGACCAAATAAGCGCTGGGTTCCACTGCTTCTTCTGGCCCAAGATCTTCTGGGATTTCCTCACCAAGAACCTCGATGGCGCCGTCAAGCCCATTCCTGTCCTGCAAGTCCTCAATGTAATTCTCGGTGTCATTGGTCTCGCCTGGGAATGGCCCCTGCCGCTGCTCGCTGGTACGGGCCTGCATCGTTCAATCGAAGCACGCCTCATCGTCTACCCCATTAGCGCTCTTTGTGCTCTTCTCATCTACCAAGGCACAAACTCTGGCCTGTACTACATTGTCGGCATGATTGCTTACTTTTGGGCATACAGCGAAGGCGAGGTACGTTGCACATGATCTCTCACTCTAATCTACAACCATACTAATATTCTCCAAGATTGTCTGTCCCGAACCATGGACCCTACCTAAGCGCGGCTCTACTGTCCGTAAAACAGGCGTATAGATTGTCCACAGTACACAGACAGAATAATCTCAGCACATACAAACCCCAAATTTCGCTTCTTCATCACACCCATTTCAAACCGGGATTTATGAATCATGTACCCATTGTCCATGTAGACGATTGTACCTTTTTCCGCATTTTTGCAACCCGACATCTCTGGCAGACACTCCTCTTGATTTAGCGACTGAACTCTCTATATATTTTTTTTCTCCTCATCTCCCCGCCGGCCGCAGAAAGCCGCAGCGTGGGAAAGGCAAACTCGGCGCATTCTTATCATACCAAAACATCGCGTGTTACTTTTTGTTTATTGCGAGGGAGAAAGGCATATAGCATGCGCGAATGATTTCTCCATAGTCATCGTCATGACGATCATGTATTCAAGTCAAGCATTTAACCGCCCGTTTTTTGTTACGGGAGGACCTCGATTCTGAATTCCTTCTTGCGATGTACACTGTCAAGCTTTCAAAATAAATAAATAAAAGAATCAAAAACAAACTGCCTCAACATTGTAATCGTGCATGTGTTGTACCTCTTTACCCCCATGAACATTGTTCTCCCCTAGAAAACAAGCGGCGCAAGCAACAAAACGCAACATAGTTTAACACCCCCCCAACAAAAGCCTGCACGTCAACCCAAAAAAATATGGTTGATGACTTGCATAAAGAAACAAGGTAGCATCAATTCAACAATGTTCTGCACAAAAATCTCTCTCTCTCTCTCTCTCTCCATCTCTGTTTTTCCTTGAATTATCCCCTTACCCGCCGTCAAACCTGTAGAGTACGTACGTGCTGAGGGAAGGAACGTGCGTGACACACGTCGTGTTTCAGGGCGTTTCCCCATGTTCCAACACACACAGACACAGCCACATTTACCCACGTCACTTATCTCTCCCTTGTCAATTTAGTCCCCTTTTTTTTCTTCGTGCTTTTTCCTTTTTTGGGTGAGGGAAATTCTCCACTCGCATGTGGGGAGGGGAGGAAGGAGGAGGGTTAGCCTGGGATGGGGTCATACGTCTTGCGCTTCAGTGGGGTAGCTGCTGGGGTGGGCTAGGGGAAGGGGGCGGGGTGGAGGCCACAGGGTGTGGCTGTTGGTGATGGGTAGCTATGAAGAGGGAAGATGGGAAGGTATTGATTTTTGTGGGTGTAGTAGAAGAGAAAAGAATATTTGATTCTATTAGTATGATTATTATTTCCTTGTGTAGAAACGAAGAAATGATTTCGAGAAGGGAAAAGCAGAGAAATTCGTTTCACAATTAAAATATCGTGTATGTATGTTGAAAAAAAAATCATCTTCAGCCTTACGTCAAAAAAAAACACTACAAGTGTAAACATTGATATACTAACCGTTGATTTCTCGGAAATAATTTTACCACATACCAGACACTATTTTATTTTCCCCATCAACATCGAGAAAAATAACAGCATCTCCTTTGCTGCTCCTAGAAAAAAAAGAAAAAGAAAAAATCGTGACGAGACATACATCTACACTTCTTCGCCTCATGAAAACGATATCATCGCAAGACAACCTTCTCAAAAAAAAACCCCAGATCAAACCTACTCGGCAGGACCCTCGATCAAAATCTTGATGCCCTTGCCGCCCTTGACATCCTTGAACGCGTTCTCTGCATCCTCAAACTTGACTTTGCCTGTGATGAGCTCCTTGACTGAGATACGGCCGGTAGCCACAAGGTCAATCGCAGTCTGGTAGTCGCCGGGACCGTAGCGGAAGGAGCCCTTGACGTTGAGTTCCTTTGTGCACATTGCTACAATGGGGAAGGTGATATCTGGTTTGCCCATGCCGCCCTGTTGGTAATTTTGTTAGCAAGGTTGAATATCAACCAACAACTACCAGTAAAAAAAACGTACCTGAACATATGTTCCGCCCATGCGCAAAGCGTGAATGGCAGTCTGAATGCAAGGCTCTGCACCAGACGCATCGATGATGACATCGGCACCAGGCCCCAATTCACACTGCTTAATCATGTTCCTGGCGTTCTCCTCTGCGCTTACGCGCTCGCTCTTGAAACTGGCGTTGGCAGCGTAGTTGAGCGCAAAGCCTAGACGCTCGTCGTTGATGTCAACGGTAACAATCTTCTTTGCGCCGTATGCCTTTGCGACGGCACAGCAGAGCAGACCGACGGGACCGGCACCAAATACGACAACAGAGTCACCAGGCTTGATGGCTGCTTGGCGAGTAATGTGGACAGCGACGGCGGTGGGCTCGATGAGGGCGCCCTCCTCCATGCTCATGTTTTGGGGTAGCTTGTAGCAGTAGTCTTCTGGAAGAGTGTAGTACCGTGCGAGGGTACCGTCGTATGGGGGTGTCGCTGCGAATGCCATGTCTGGGCAGAGGTTGTACTTTCCCTCTTTGCAGCGCACGCAACGACGGCAGGGCACACCAGGCTCCATGGCGACTTCATCTCCGACTTTCAGGCCCTTGACCTTGTCGCCGACCTTGTGTACGATACCGGCAGACTCGTGGCCGAGCACCATGGGCTTCTCAACTACAAAGTGGCCGATGCGTCCCTCGACCCAGTAGTGCACGTCGGAACCGCAGATGCCAGTCCATCGCGGCCGCACAATAACGTCGTATGGTGATGGGAGTTCAGGAATTGGCCGGTCTTCATATGTGACTTTGAATGGTTCTTGGAGAACGAAAGAGGGGTTCTAGCAAATTGTCAGTCATCTTGTGCTCCTCTGCTCTGAATGTTGGCCGCCATGTTGTCGTGTTGCGCTGTGCATGGCGGGGTTATGGCGGGGCAATGTAAAGTACCTTTTGGGAAGCGGTTGGTGTGGCCATGGTGAGTCAATGGGTAAGATATGGATGTGATTGTTTGTATTGATTCAATTCGCCGTCTACAGGGAGAGGGAGAGAAAAAAAGAAAGACAGAAGAAGTAGGAACAATCCTTCAAGACTCAGGCGCAGGCCAGTGCCATGTAATGACGATGCAACGGGTGGAGCCCCGAGCTACAGCTTCGCAGCGAGCTATCCCGGCCAGGCTGGAAGCGTTTTGATTACCCGGACTAATTACCCGGCGCGTGCATCACTCTTCTTGGACCGTTCCGTCTGAACATGTCGGCGTTGCTCCGAGCGTTGCTTGCTGTGCGCCGCCGCGACTATGCGAATGACCAGAAAAAATCCCACGGATATGGTCCGTGGGCGCCCTGCCAAAACGCCAAAACGCCGAGGCCTCGCGTGGCCATATCTTCCAGAGGATAATCTGCCCAACTTTAGCCACCGACTGCTGGCTTTTTGCCAGTTGAGCCTTTCCTCGTCCAACATGCCCACCAACACGTCACGAGCGCACCCTCGTCTGGGTCACCGCTCGCCCTCGACGCGCCCCAGTCGTCGTATCCTTTCTCTTCGCCTTCATCCACTATCTGCAACCCAATCTCGAGCATCCGGCCGCGAAAGTCCTCAATCTGAGGCAGATATGCCTCCCTGTACGGAAACTCGACAATGACTTTGGCGTCGCTGTTCGGCGAAAGCCATGCCGCAATCGTGTCTACCAGCATGCGAGGGTGATCTGCAGAGTACAGTGAATCGGCAGCCAGGATTACTGGAAATTTTGCAGGCACGGCCTCGTCGTCATCCTGTAGCGGCTCGCAGACCTGAGGCTCAGTCCAATCAAGCATGGCTGCACGAGCACTTCCATTGTTCCCGCTGACCACCTCCTCATTCTGAAGTATGTTGTACTTAAGGTTCGGGCAGATGCTGGGCAGGTCTGTCAGCACCACGTCTGCACCCAGGCCTGCCATGGCGAGTCCAACCAGCCCAGTTCCCGAACCAAGCTCAAGCACTTGTAGTCTACTTTTTGTATACCGGGGGACCAGATCGAATGAGCTGAGACGTTTCGCGAGGAGATACGACGCTGCCCACGTTTTCAGACCCAGGTCATCGCCAGTCATAGTTGGTTCGTGGATGCTGAGGTCGAAAGCGTCGGACGAGGTGGGAATGTGGAACGAACGTGACATTGCGCCCATGGCAGAACGTCCAGAGCGCTCGCTGAGCCTTGCGCTGGCTTGATCCCAAATCTGTTCCTTCAATTCTTCATCCTCTATCCACCGTAGATCACTACCAATGATGCTTGTGAGGTACCCTGTGACACCTTCTGAACTGACTGTGACTGCCGCCGCTTGTCCGTCTTTGCGTTTCGTTTCTTCTGGCTCCTCCCATGACGGTGGGGCAGTTGTGAGAAGTCTGAGGGTATCGAGGAGCGCCTCAGCAGAGGGCTTCGTGTAGATTTGGGGGAGGTCGAGGACTGCACGGAGACTTTAGCACCCATTCATACAAATGATAGGCGCTATCCATACCATGTAGCATGGACATTTTGAATTGACTATGGCGGAGGCGCAGTCGCAATTATCGGCGAGCGGGGTGCGACACTCGGTACTCACCCAAGTCTAGCGGGCCCGTGCGGGGCTAGGAGCTCACGGTACCAATGATGGGCTTCTCCAGGCCAGGAACACGCATCCAGGACGTTTTCATGCTTTCTTCAGTGTGCTCTTGAAGCCGTAATACGCCTGATCCATGTCAAACTGGAACTCGCGCGCCTGTTCGTCGTTCAGCTTGTCGGCTGCGCGCATTTGGTTCAACGTAATCAGCCACTGGACAATCTTGCCCTTGTTCTCAAAGTCGACGTCAGTCACCTTGTTGACTGCTTGTATAATTTCAACAAGAAGAGGATGCAGCGTATCCTTCTCCACGAGTCCAATCTTAATGGCGTCAAGCAGAGTAATAAACGTCTCGGTCGCATTGACTACAAGTGTCGCATCGCCAAAGTCGCCTTGCTGAGCTGGTCTCGATGGGCCTTGTTCGACGGTAGCGGGTATGCCGACGCGCAATCGCTCAACGGCCCTTGGACACTCCATCTGGTGTACTGTTAGCGCAGCACAGGTACTCGCCAGCCTCGTTGACATACATGCCACTCCCTAGCGAACTGATCCAGATCACCGAATGCTCGTGCAACTGTCTCGTTGGCGAGATTGGATTTGTACTGCTTCATCAACCGGCTGCATGTCTCGGTGTAGTCAGCTTCGGCAATCGAGTCTTTAAGATACGCCTTCTCGACGGCATCCAGGGTGATGATGATGCTGTAGATTTCGGCAAGGGAATCGTTCAAGTCGCGCTCCGCGTTCGTTGTTGAGAGCTTGACTTCCTAGGCAGTCATTTAGTAACCAGCGCAGAGCATGGTGGGACCGAGGCGCGTCATACCTCGTCGAGATTGATGGTCGCGGCCAGATTGGAGCGCGGAATGTAGGGCGTGGGCGCATATGCGAGGGGTCTGCTGTTGTACATGGCGACGGAGGTCAAGTATACACAGTCGTAGTTGTAAGTGTAGGAGTCGTCGTACTCATGGTGTAGGCACCAGGCCCAAGTTGCGTCGGCGGCGGCCTGGTCAAGCGTGCATGGCGTGGGGAAGCGCTAGTGGTTGCAGGGTCCCTTAGCGCTGGGAACTTTTTCGAGCGCCCAAGTTTTTCAACCACCAGCTGCACGTCTGGCCAGCAACACCTCCCCCACCACCGAAAACCCCCCCAATTCCGCCGAGATGCCCGTCTCTAAGGCGACTAAGAAGTTCCAAAAGGACAAGCTCGGCGACACCATCAAGCGCCGCAAAGATGTCGCCAAGATCAAGCAGCGCAAACAGATGGACGCCAAGAAGAAAGAGCGCAAGGCCAGAGACAATGCGCGCGCGGATGATGTTGAGGAGGAAGCAGCTGCTAAGAGGCTCAAGATGAACGGGGCAAAGGACGACAAGCTGGGCGAGATGTCCATGGATCAATTCTTCCAGGGCGGCTTCCAGATCCCAGAGATGAGCAAGAAGAAGACCAAGCCAAAGACTGGCAAGCGAAAGCGCACACCCGTCGACGAGGATTCTTCAGAGGGCTCCGATGAGGATATGGCAGAGGCCTCTGGCGCTGCTGACGAGTCGGGATCAGACAGCGAGTCAGGCGACGACATGGACACTCACAAGGAACAGCTCGCTGGACTGGCGGAAAAGGACCCCGAGTTCTACAAATACCTCAAGGAAAACGACGCCGAACTATTAGACTTTGCCGAAGACGCCGACCTCGCTGAGATTGACGCTCTCTCTGCCAGCGAAGATGAGGCCACGCCCCGAAAAAAACACAAGTCCGACGAGGCAGAGACTACAGGCAACGACCTCACACTCAAGACTGTTCAGAAATGGAAAGCTTCAATGGAGTCCAAGCACTCTCTGCGCGCCATGAAGGAGGTTGTTCTTGCATTCCGCTCCGCAGCACACATGAACGATGAAGACAGTGGAAAGTCGTACAAGTACTCGATAACAGATCCCGATGGTATGTTGACTGTGTCTTAAAAACACGCCAGCGCTAACAGCTCGCAGTATATCATCAGGTCCAAGTGACTACTCTTCAGCTCGTCCCCAAGGTCCTCCAACATCATCTGCCTGTGAAGGAGAGTGCTGGCGGCAAAATGTAAGTATACTACTACAGTGCTTCACAATCATCGCTAACAAAAATAGTCGCGTTCCTACCGATACCAAAAAGTTCCGCACTCTTACGCCCCTTCTCAAGTCGCATACCGTCTCGATGCACCACTTGCTTGAGAACTTGGCCGACGCGAAAACGTTGAAAATGACCCTAGATTCCTTGTCGAACATCCTCCCCTATGTTCTCTCCTTCAAGAAGATCATTCGCGAGGTCACACGCTCAGTTGCCGCCGTATGGGCTGACAGCTCTAACAACGACGGCACCCGAGTATCAGCCTTTCTCGTGTTGCGACGCCTGTTGGTCATTGCCGACCCAAGCATCCGTGAGGCTGTCTTGAAGCAAACATACCAAGGCCTTGTCAAGGGCGCAAGAAACACTACAGTTCATAACGTACAGGGCATCAACCTGATGAAAAACACTGCGTCCGAACTCTGGGGCATTGATCCAACAGTAGGCTACACAACTGGTTTTGGCTTCATCCGCCAACTTGCCATCCATCTCCGGACCAGTATCACAAACAAGACAAAAGACTCTTACAAGACAGTATACAACTGGCAGTATATCCATTCGCTGGACTTTTGGTCGCGTGTGGTCTCGATGCACTGTGAGTCTCTTCGGGAAGCCGAGGCTGGAAAGGCATCACCGCTACGACCACTTATCTATCCTGTTGTCCAAGTCACGCTCGGAGCCATGCGCCTCATCCCCACATCGCAATACTTCCCTCTCCGGTTCCAACTTGTTCGCTCTCTTCTTCGCATCTCCCAGGCAACCTCAACGTACATTCCCCTGGCGCCCGCCCTTGTCGAAGTCCTGAACTCGGCCGAAATGAAGAAGCCTCCGAAGCCCAGCACTCTCAAGGCGCTCGATTTCAACGTCAGCATCCGCGCGACAAAGGCTTACCTACGCACACGCGTCTACCAAGATGGCATTGGCGAGCAAGTCGCAGAGCTTCTTTCCGAGTTCTTTGTCCTCTGGACCAAGAACATTGCTTTCCCTGAACTCTCACTCCCTGTCATCGTCATGCTCAAGCGGTGGGTCAAGGCCATGACCAAGAAGAGCGGTGGAAACAAGAATAACAAGGTCTCGTCTATGCTGGCTCTTCTTGTCCAGAAGCTCGAGGCAAACTCTCGTTGGGTCGAGGAGAAGCGCAACAAGGTCGAGTTTGCGCCCAACAACCGCGCCGGTGTTGAGGGTTTCCTGAAGGATGTCGACTGGGAGAAGACTCCTCTGGGTGCCTTTGTCGCGGGCCAGAGGAAGACCAGAGAGCAGAAGCAGAAGATGCTAGATGATGCGCGCAAGACGGAAGATAAGAAGAGGAAGGAGGCTGAGATGGAGAGCAAGAAGAATGGGGAGGTGTTTGAGGATGATGATGATGAGGAGGAGGAGGAGGAGGAGGAGGAGGAGGAGGTTGATATTGAGGGACTGAGTGATGAGGACGTGAATATGGAAGATGATGAGGAAGAGAGTGATGACGAGTAGAGGAGATAGTGTGTGTATTTTATCTTACGCTGGGTTTTGCAATGGTTTGGAAATCGGAAAAGACGATAATTTCCCAAGTTACGGTGCATACAATGAGAGGGTAACTACAAATATGAGGGGTTTTTTTTTCATCCTGATTATTTAGTCTGTCAGGGTTTTGTTATCTGACTGCTACCACTGTTATTCATGTCTGACTACATCCACAAAAGGAGTAAGTTGGAAAGGTCCCAAAGATCCCAAGCCTCTGCCCATATTGACTACAAAAGAAACCCTACGTGAGTTCAGAAAGAATCCCAGCTCCCCTCTCTCTTTACATACTACCAAAGAAAAAAAAGACCCCCTTCATTTCTCTCAACACACACCCCCCATCCACGCCCCCTCCTCCTTCAACCGCTCGTACTCCCTCACCTCATACACCGTCGGCCGCCTCGCCTCTCCCTCCCACCTAATCCCCTCCTGCCCGTCGCACCTCTCCAGCCGAAACCTCAACACCCCCTTCTTCTCATCCAGCACCTCATGCCCCACCACCACATACAAGCCATCATACCTGATCCCCCTCTCCGGGCGATACTTATTCGCCTTGCCCAGCTGCGCGGACCGCAGCACCCTCACCGGATCCCGCGTCTGCAGCGACGTAAGCAAGTGTTTGGTATTCTCCGTGACGGAACCCGTGTTGTCGCTGTTTTCGGTACCCGAATAATAGATTGTGTCGCCGGCGTCGTGGTCCGCGTACCCGGTTCCGCTGGAAAGCACAATGGAATATGCGCCGTGGGATTTGCTGCCGAAGATGCCGCCTTGGGGGGTGCCGTGGGCGCCGTCGCGGACGGCGCAGAGCTGAGTGGGCCACCATTGGCCGGGGACGAGGTCGCCTTGGCCAATGTACTTTGCTGTTACGGGGTATTTGGTGCGGTAGATGGGGCAGATGGAGTCGGAGGAGCGGTTTGTGGATTTTTTGGTGATGATGCCGCGGAGGAGGTCTTGGGTTAGGTTTCCTGCGTACCAGCGCTTGTAGAGTTGGTAGCTGTCTGCTTTGATGTCGGGTGGGAAGTTTGCTTGTGCGCGAAAGATGCGGGGGAGGCCGGTTTGAGGAGAGAGCATGTGGGCTTTGCGGAGTATGTGGTGGGTTACGGGGAGAATGATTTCGGCTTTGTGGATGAGATCACGGAGTTTGTTGTAGAGGTTGGGGAGATCGCCGGATCGGTTCTTTTTGGGGGCTTCTTCACATTGGCGAGCGAGGTCTTTGAGGGCGTCTAGGGCTGTGAGAGCAGGGGGCCGTCGTTTGGACAGATGCTTCATGTGTCTGTTGTCAATGGAGATAGAGGTGTACCATTCTGGCAGGTCCAGGGGTACGTTATATTCCTCTACTTTGTATTGGGAAGATGGCAGTGATTTCGACAGTGCAGGAACGGTCTCGTTGGGATTCGAATCGTTTCCTGCTGTGGTCGATGCCGTCTTTTGTGGTTGTCGAGCAGTGTCTTTCAGTGACGAGTCCTTCTCCACCTGCTCAGTAAGAAACCTTACTTTCTTACTCTGCTTTTTTTCTGGAGTTTTTACTGCCTCCTTTCGCTTGCTACTATCTGATGTTCGTATGATCGCTTTAGAGCCGGCCACGGTGCCAGTAGCGCTTGTCTTTACAAGTTGTCGCTCAGTGCTGCTGGACTCTTCTCTGACGTTTGCCTGTTCAAACCTATCCGAAGACTTCAATACTGACTTCGGACTCAGCTCCTCCAGCTTCTTCGCTAGCAAGCTCTTCGTTTCTTGATGTTGCTTGCTACATGCTTCTGCCTGCTTCCTTACATCACGGATCCTAGCAGCGAATGCTTCGTCTGGGTTGACACCTGATACTTTTACAGCATTTCGTGCCGCTGCCAGCATCCATGCTGGCGGTTGAATTGACATTGCTTCGCTCTGATTAGTCATGTCGAGTTGGTTGAGTTGATTGGGTTGACCGATGGTGATGCAGTGAGATGGATCGTGCTTGTTATGTCTTAGACTAGCGGCGAGTGAGTCTGGCTTGCAAGCAAACGAACAGCAAACGAACTAAATGCTTCATAGAGAATGAGCGGTGAGGGTGGCAGCTGCGTGTGTCCTGGGCAATACGCAGTGTCACACATGATTTCACTACTGCTTTAATAGTGCGCCGCTCGATATCTCGACAAGACTACCATAAACGCGAGTATGTGCTATAGTCATAATAAATGACAAGAGGTAGTTAAAAACTCTAGTTATACGGAGGTGCCTTTCAAAAGTATTGTCTGACGCTAATCTCGGCGATTCGGCGCAACTCTTCTTGGCG